ACATCTAAACAATGTTTATTCGTGTATATACACGCGAGTCTTAGATCATAAAAACTCGGCCCTTCAAATTCACGGATTCAAATTAAATCTAAATTCAGTTGCTGTTATATAAATTTTCAATTTCTACACCTTCGATATTAAACATTTCAATAATTTCATTGTCGTGTAGTAATTTCAAGACACTTTTCTAGAATAATTTAAATTGTTCTATATTTACTATGTCTGCAGGATTAGCTTCAAGTAGATCTTCAAGTAATCTCTTTTGTATCGCCGGTTAAAACAACAACAAATATGTTAGCTGCATTCCACTTGAAGTCAAAACAATGTACATACAATAAAAATATATACGAAATAGTATTTCGTAATACAAAGACGTGTATCTATTTTTCTGTACACAGATAATAAAATTCAGGATTATCTGTCTACAGTGTCTACCAAGAACCGAGATATTCAATTCCCACAAATATAGTGCATGTTTCATTTAGCCTCCTAACACACGTTCAAAACTATGACCTCTAATTATGTCCTACGCTATCAAAGGCCCTAATAACAATAATATTTATACACAAATATTGTACGATACCTTTGTCAACAGGGCCACTAAAATTTCCAATGAAGTAAATACTGTGCTTCGTGTAATCTATTCGACACGTTCTAAAGACTTCTTCCTCATTACTATTCCCTCCTGAGTGTCTAACGAAGAAATATGGTTTAGCTGATCTTTCAAAAATTTATTTGAATATCGTATGTTACCTTAGCGGATAAAATTTGATACCTCTGTTCAAGGACTGCACGACTTCTGTGAACTTCACGAATGCAGTTTCACGAACTTTTTACCCAAATGAACGGTTTTACTGAGTCAATTAGAAGACGCTTGCCTTCAATTCTATTGAAGTTTTATTTTATTGCGTTTTGCAAATAATTGCGTCTACTATAAATGCAAAAAATCTGCCATCTATTTATGTGTTCATGTATACCCACTGAGTGATGAAGAGCTTCGAATAACAAAACGAAGATTTACTATGAAGAATTTTTGCGGCTCATTACATACTACAAAGTGAGAAAGATTATTATTCATTGATACTTCCTAAATAGACATATGAAGGAGTTAGCCCAGTTTGAACCTAAAAATGAAAGCTATTTTTGGCACTTTTTTGTGAAACTAAATGAAGTAAATGGGAAATCTGTTGAAAGACATTTATTGTACAGTTTGCTGCGCTCCAACAAACTGAAAGGCACGAAGACAAAAGGGGTATTTCGCTGACCAATGGTTAGTATTGTAAGACGCCACGTCATTACTACGTCAGTACCACGTGATTACTCTGTTATTGCTCTATCTCACTTAATCTAGTGGATCCCATTCGCATTCTTTGTCACGAACGAATTTGATTGGATAAAAGATTTCTTTTTTTTTGACCCATGAATATCGAAATTTCGAAACAACTATACAAAACTGTTCTCATTCGTTCGAGTATACCAGATTTTCTCAAGTTGAGACAATTCTACATCAGGTGGCGATAATGGCAAATAATAATTGACACCGCACTGATAACATCGACAATCGACATTTGATACCATTTTATAACCATATATTTATTCTTTCGTTTCAGTCATCGGTACTGACGATATCGATACTTCGCTTCTGATATTTTAGCCGTATCGATATTTTGATCATCAATATGTATCGATACGAAATATCGATACAATTCATATGTATCGCCCTTCACTAATATGGTACGGCATTTAATCGGTATGCAAGATACTTGAAAACGGTTTTTATTTTCAACATAACATTTACTAAAGAAATACATAAGAATTTTTAGAAATATGATTTTTTGTGCAAGTAGTAAATGTTTGAAAAGAAGGATCTTTTTCAACCGAAAAATTTTGTATAACAATGTCCATAACAAAGGAAGTTTTTAACATATTGCACCCAACCCTACGTATTTCTTTAGTAAATGCCATTTACAAAATAAAGCATATACCACCTTTTTTATATGCATGAATCGCCATTTTGTTCTAAAAAAATTTGTTTGCGAACTCGAAGATGTGTAGAATAAATGTCTGGTAATAAATTTCCCATTTAGTTCATCTTTTTCAAAAGAAAAGTGTCAAGAAATAGCTTTCATTTTTGGGCTTTAAAGTGGGCTAACCCCTGAAGGTAGCTCATGCGTTTGGTGTCGTATCTAGCTGGGGCTCCATATGGCGCTTTATACTTTTTATCAATTTTGTCAATCTAATTTGAATGATTAATGTTTTAAACTAATTCAAAATACTGAAATGGAAAAAAATTTACAAATAAGTGGAAAAATAAAAATTTGTTTCCTTATTGTAAAAAAAATTTAATTTTTCTTTTTAATTTCAAAAGAAAAAAATTGGAAAGTTTGTCGAACAAAAAATAAAGGAAAGCAAGTAACGTTAACGCTCATAGCAGACATGCGTAGAAAAAACTATCAAGCGCATTGAAACCTACATAAGTTTGCGTACTATGATCATAATTTTTAGTTTTATTTGATCATTAACATATTTTTTTCCGTGCCATCAGAATCTTCGTAAAAATTCTATAACCACCTATATTTATGAAAATGTCATTTTTTGTAACTGAATAAAAAGTGATTAACTTCTCAGTACCAACTACAGTTCCGTAAGACTCGTGTCAAAAAGACATTTTTATAACGTTTCTTTTTCAATAATTTTATCGTTGGCCTTGCGATTTTTTAGTAGCAATCGAAAATTAAAGCTTTTAAGAATATTCTGATAAATTTTCAACTAAATGTATAATTATTCAAAATTTGCGTGAGCCACCTTAAGGGGCACTTAAAGTAACCTGTGCACAAAATATAGAAAATTTATTTAAGTAGTTCACAAATATATTAAAATTAAAATATAATCTATTTTTTGGAACCTGTTTATAAAGGGAGACGGTAACAAGTGGGAAAATTTATGGTACTTCTGGCACTTAAAATTCGAGAAGGAGATGATTGTACGTGTATTGGAGAAATCATACATGTATTGATTATGCGATAGCAAAGTTGTTAGAAACTCGAATAAATATAAAGATGCATGCAACAAAATTAATACACAAAATTAAAACATTCAAACATTATTTTGTACACAAAAGTCGATATGTAAATAAAATTTACGAATATACATATACGGTATCACAATTGGTACCAGAGTGAAAGTACTGAAACAATTACAAATTTTAACGCTATTCGGTATAACTTCACATTATGGAAGAACACGTGTACTGTTATTCAATAACGCCGGAAACTGTACAACAACAACTATTTTGATAATTATATTCTTTTCTGTGAAGAGGATGTTTAACTTCCGCTCTAAAAAACATAGTGTCCGACAAGATAAGTTAGTTGTGACAGTACGCCCACTGTACTTATGTAGATAGATTCACCAACTGTATTTGCATTCATCTTTTGCCGAGTCAATGAAGAACATTCATCAATTAATTAAAGAAATGAATTTGCGACTGCACTGTAACTTCCGTATCGACACGCGAACTTAACTATATAATTAGGAAAATAATTCATCCACATAGTGATCTCACTAACAATAATGCATTTTGATAAAACTTGAGAACTTGTTGTTACTTCGATGCACTAACTGAGAACCGTAAAAAATGCAATTAACATGTTGACTGCCACAGTGGAAAAGGCAGTACGTACCCAGACACACTTTATTTCGTTTTTTAAGTCATAAATCTTTGAAAATATATGCGTTTGATTAATAGAGATTGCTTGTCTTGTTTTAAATTATACTGTGATATTAATCTTATGTGAAAATTTTGTAGAGGTATTTAAATAATCCAGCATGTTTGCAATGTTTCAACTACGAGTTATCTCGTAGTTGGCAGTGAACGTGTTAAGTAAAAATTATAATCAGTATGTTTACTTTTCCATTTGTACGACATTATTACAAGTTATGTTTGTAGTCACTGTCAAAACATCGCGATTTCGAGTTGTCAACTGTTTTTCGAAATAAACAAAAGCATTGTACATCATAAGTTAGTTCAATAATGCAGAACGTTTATCCAATAACTTAAAATGATGAGATTTCTCTTTAACAACAGAATTCAGAGAATTATATAATATTTAAATAGTAAACGTAATATTTTTAAAATTTACTAATGATGGCGAGTTAGCTACTAATGGGTGATATTTTGTGAAAAAAATTGATTAATTAACATAAAGTGGTAAGTTATATTAAATACCATTAAGTCGTATTGTTTAAACGATTCGACGTTAATAAGAAATTAATTACTTATGAAATAGCTAAATTCAGACGTGCTGTCTGTCAATCTTTTTATTAATTATCACTGGACGACCCTCTTAGATTATAGTACCTACGGAGAATGTTATCATGAAAGAATGAACCATCGATGGACCACACCTACCCAGAAGAAAACATGATCAAATATCATGGCCAGATTCATCATTATTAGGAAACGAAACATTATATAAAAACACACCATAAATATTACTTATTTCCATTTTTTGTTGTAAGAACAAAAAATCAATTGATCCGATGAATACACTGTTTTCAGGTACATTCGAATTTGCCCTGTGTGAAACTTACACGCTTCTTGTCGCTTCTTGTTTTGTCTTTTAGGAGCGGAAACAAAAATTATGAGTTTTTTAAATCAAAAGAATAGAAATTTCATGTAACTACTAAATAAAATCAATCGGGAAGTGGGAAGAAATTGTAGGAAGATGGAAATGAAAAATTTTACATTGAAATCATATTACCCTTAAAAAAATCTAATTAACTTTCCAAAGAACCCAGTATATTCTCAAGCATGGCATGCGTTAACTTTTACCTACAATTAATATACATTGTTTCCCCCGTTACATGTATTCCTCGAGTTTTTCTATCTTTCTTTAAATCGCTCCAATTCTTACCGCTCAAGTAACGATTGGCAAGAATCATTTGAATTCATGCACGTGCGTGTCCGAAGGTACAACTTGTATGTTGCAATTACGTACCTCGAGCCAATATACTCTTTTGGCGATTCGTTCCTTTCCCCCGTGCTCAGCGCCGCAGTTACGTCCTTTCTCCAGCCGTTTTCGGGAACGATCAAAAGAACCCTCCAAATCGGTCGCTGGACCGGTACTGAGTACTGACTACGCGGCGGCGAGCAGCGACAGGCGACAGCGAGTCGGAGAGCATGCAGCGGCCGACCGTGCAGAGATGATCTCATCGTTTTTCTTTCTTCCGACACCTCCGTTTGATCTTTCTACCATATGCACTGGTTCTCCTCGTTCCGCTCGCTGTACAGGGGGAGAGTCCACGACAAGTTACGCAACACGCCTGGAAGATTCTTTTTTGTTTTTCGTAATAATCGTTTGGATTCACGATTAATCTTAAGCGGCCCATAGACGTTCAATAATATTGTGCAATAACTTGAATCGTTCGAAGGCGATATTCAAGGTTGTGCAATATTTTGTGCAACCACGAGCACAGACGGCACGTATATGTATTGTGCAACCTCCTGGAAGCGCAGTGCAAATCAGTCTCCTGGAAGCGCTAGAGAGTTTCATGTTGTGAAGTCATGTTGAGTGATACCGAACCGTGTTGTGTTTCAATTGCTGTGGGCGTAGGCTTGAAAAAGAAAAAGAAGACGGGAAGAAAAGTTACTCAATGAACTGAGAATCATTGAACCTAATGATTTTCGCAACTTTTTACGGATGGACGGAGAATTATTCGATGAACTCCTTGCTGTGGTCACTCCTCAAATCGAAAAAATGGACACTACCATGCGCGATGCTATTCCTCCAAGTCAACGTTTCTCCATAACCCTACGGTATCTCGCGACCAAAAATAGCTTTGAAGACCTCAAGTGTTTAACTGCTGTTTCACCTCAGTCAATAGGGCACATCGTTATGGAAACCTGCATTGCTCTGATCAACAGCCTCGAGGAATACATCAAGGTGAGCACTTTTTCAACTTCATCATTTTATTTGAAAGGCAAAATTTTTCTGAAGACATGCATTTTGAAAGTAACTTCCTCATTGAAAACTAGCGAAATCGGTGCTAGCGTTTTGCCCAGGCTCACGGGAATATGCTGTGGAATCAAATTGATCGAATTAAGGGTTACTGAGTGATTAACACCGAATTACGATTTAAGGTCCCCATTTGCCCCTCAAATAGTATATCATTGATGGCCTTCTTGGCAAACATCTGCTGTCGCGGATCCATTTTTCTGAGCTCTACTGCCCAAGCTGCAGCAATTTTGTCGCTGTCATCTTGTGGTTGTCGAAGGCGCTGGCAAGCCATTTTCACCAACTCCTCAGAAGGATCTTGTGGTCCACGTTTCTTCTTCATCTTCTTTGTAGAAGGTGTATCCTTCGTGTGGAAAAAAAATAAAAAGAAAAAAAAATAGAAAATAAATAAATAAAAAAGTGAAAATGTTCTGTTGCCTTATAATTTCGTTATCCTTTGTTGCAGGTACCAACTAGCGAAGAAGAATGGAAACAAATTGCGCAAGATTTCTACGATCAATGGAATTTCCCAAATTCTCTGGGTGCAGTCGATGGGAAACATGTCGCAATAAAAAAACCCCACAATTCTGGATCACTTTTTTTGAACTATAAAAAATTCTTCAGCATTGTGATGATGGCAGTCGCTAATGCGAATTATGAGTTTATCATGGTTGATGTAGGAATAAACGGGCGAATATCGGATGGCGGTGTAATTCGTTACACCAAGTTCGGGCAAGCGCTTGCAGATAAGACACTGGGAATTCCGGAACCTGCACAACTGCCGAATAGTCAGAAAATATTGCCATTCGTTTTTGTGGGAGATGATGCCTTCGCAATGACAGAAAATTTAATCAAAACCCTACCCTCAAGCAGGATTAAATGTGGAGAGAAGAGTTCGCAATTACCGATTGAGTCGTGCACGTCGTGTAATCGAAAATGTCTTCGGGATTTTGGTCAGCAGGTTTAGAGTACTACAGCACCCAATAGCGCTGTCTCCAGAAAAGACTCGCATAATTGTCTTGGCATGTTGTTATTTACACAACTTTTTGCGAAAACGCCAACCACGAGCTTACATAACCAGAAATCTCGTAGATAGTGAGGATTTGCAGGCCGTTGTTGTCGAGAGCGGATCATGGAGGGATGTTGTAAATGAGACAACACCACTTCAGCCAAACAGTTCCTTGAGGAACGCAACAACTAGTGCTAAAATGGTCAGAAATGCCTATTCTGATTTCTTCAACAATGAAGGCCAGGTTTCATGGCAATGGAAAATTGTAGGTGTACCAGCCTCGACCAACAATTGAAAATGGCATACCTATCCCGAAAAATGTGAAACTGTGAAGCGAAAAAGTTGATTTGATTTAGCAAAATATGTAATAATAAGTTGTTAATTTGATTTCATTCATAATAATGATTTCATGTATATGAGACGCGTAGTGAAAATTAATAAAATTATCAACAGACAACTTACTGTTGGGTCGTCGGTTTCATTTGCATTGCCCAAATCCTCGTTGTTGTCCACCACATCAATACTCGAGTCTTTAGAGATGTCCATGGTGCTGATGGAAGCAGTAGGTGTTTCATGATTTGCAAGGAACTTCATTTCTTCGAAATACCATAGCAAAGGTTCAACATCCTCCGCACCGGCACCGCTTCTCTCAGCATCGCGAATACGTTTCAATTCTTTGCGGAAGTTGGTACGCAGAGAATTAATTTTTTTTACCACTTGTTGTTTGTCAGCGTCTGGGTATTTTTCGCGGTATTTTTCCAAAAGCACATCATACTGCTCCCCCTTTTTGGCACGGTTACTATAATCCTTCCACTTAACATCCCAAAGAGCCAGAAGGCCATGATACACTTCAATAACTTCTAAAATAAATTGTTTTTCTGAACTCTTTTCACCCATGACGATCCGAACTTGTTGATATGATACCACTTGTGTGTGTGTGTGTGTGTGTGTGTGCCGATCAGACGCGACGCATATTGCGAGCGTAGCGAGGCGGCTCGTCGAACACACGTCGCGGAAAACAGAAGAGCGCGAAGCCCAACCGTCGCGCCTGGACTTGCCATTGTTCGGGACAGTTCGTCGCTTGTCGCTGCCCATCTCCAGATGGAGATCGAATAAATACCATTAACTTAAAACCGATCCTTTATTGTCGCCCACCCTACAGAACTGACTGACAGCGCAATATTTTCCCGGTTGCACAATATATTTTCAACTTTTCGTCAATCACGCAATATATTGCACAACCTTCAATATCGTCTATACACACGATCAATTAAATTGCACAACCCGAAATATTCTGCAATAATATTGACTGTCTATAGGCTGCTTTAGTCACGATTATTGGCGCCATATTCATAACTAGACTCCGGATGTCTATGCAAATGCATATTTTTATAGAAAACGGATAGAGCAATAGGATCTGAGCAGAAACATGTTTTATGATTAGAGAATTCTGAAAATATATTTTTTATTTTTAACTTTTTGCATAATGCATATGTTATTTGCCCTATATATATCTTCCGTGTTCTTAAAAAAAAAGTTTTTCGAGAAATCAATTTAGTCTATTAGGAAACTATCGCATTATAACTGCAGATTACTATTAAATGTCGTCAACGTAAACATATACATCGTGGTAATTACAGACAAACATCAAAACATACTTGCATAGGCTTCAGTTATTCGTTGAGCATTAGATATGGCAGTACTTGTATCCACTAGAGTGTTTTTAATAACGCCGAAAACTCGGAGTAGTAGAATATCACTAATGAAACATTGGATCGAAGGCAATTGCAATTTTGTCATCGATGAGAGTAATGAAAGAAGTGTATGTTGGAAAACTTATAATAAAACTATAAAATGCGAAAGAAAATCGCAGTTATTGCAACATAAATACTGCTACACACAAAAGAATACGTTGAAGAAGCAGCTAATACGTACAAAAGGGATACCTATTTCTGAGCAGCTACAAACGAGTTTAAAAAAAATTAATTTTACGTGAATTTAACGCGAGCAATGGTTACTGTTAATATGCGTGTATTAATTAGTGTGTCTTAAGTAACGATGTATGGAGGAATTTCCTAACAAAATATACAGACCGCATTGTTCAGGATGAATCGACACTACGAAAAAATTACTTAAACGATTCCTATGATCCAAGTATTCGAAATTCAATATTAGGAAAGACATTGCGGATCATTTTATGTGGATTTCTGTGGATGAAACCACTAATGCAATAGGCCAATGCATTGCAAACTTAGTGGTAGGAAATCTCTGCGATATCTCGGTTTCTGAATTCAGCCCTACAAATATTACTACCGAACGATAGTGAGGAAAAAATTCTTTTACTAATCACAGATACAGCAACGTATATGATCAAGGCAGGGAAAGAACTAAAATTATTTTACGAAAATATGGTACACATTACATGTATCTATAATGCATGGTTTACACAGAATTGCGAAGGAAGTATGTCTTCACTTTCCATCAGTGAATAAATTAATACCATCAATAAGCAAGGTCTTTATTAAAGCACCGCTTTGTATTGAAACGTACCGAAGAATATTAAAAGATATGTACTCCTCTACCATCGGAACCTATTTTAACTAGATGGGGTACGTGGATTGAGACGTCATTATTTGATGCTGAACATTTAGAAAAAATGCTTGTCGTTTACTGTAACTCGAATTACAATATGTCACAATAAATCGCAAAAAGGTATTGTTCATCTTGAATATTTTCCTTGCAAATTTACACATTTTCCTACATACTTGCATATTTTTCGTGCATAAATCGCATATGTTTCGTACATATTTATTGTGCATACACATCCGGAGTCTATTCCTAACACACGGAACGCATGCATTGCCACAGAGATCATTTTATTCATCTTGCTCATGTATATTCATCCACGAAGCGTGAAAATGCCCAGTCAGCCAAACCTGCAAAGCCAAATTTTCTCCAATGCCTGTTATAAAGTTATGGCTACAAGTTTCATGCAAGATTTGCTATAAACAACTTGTGCGCACATTGGCAGCAACATATGCAGCAAATTGGGTTGCGCAAACCTTGTTTCGGTTTTGCCTTCAATTTGACGTACATGTTGCAAGACTTTCTGCCCATTTGCTTTACCATTTTATCGGCTAACGTTGCCTGCAAAACCCAAGTCAAATGCGGAAACAAGTGGCTATGGTTTTTTAGACAACATTTGTCATTTATTCCCAGCAATTTGCTCGATTCTTGTATACAACTGGTTATCAGAATCATGAAATCATCGTCGATATACAGGCTGTGTACTAGTGTACAGGGTGTTTATTTGTTCTCGTCCAACTGTACAATGTATAATAAGTAAGATGTTAATGATATGACTATACTATGCTATGAAAAAATATGAAAAATGTGTTTTATCTGTCTTACTGCATAAAGGATGTTAATTCCCTTTCTTGAAGTGTCGAGTGTCTTATTTATTACAGAATATTTTTATTTTTCTTTGTACAGTTTTATGCCTATCCAGATAAATGAAACGACATACACATGCAGATGACCACGATGACTGAATCAATCTCTATATAATTAGTATAAAAGCTTCCTCTTTCAAACGTTTTGCGGATGAAGAAGACAAACGGAAACAATCTGTAGACATTAGTTTCATACTACAAGCGATTTCTCCGTTCTGCTTGTAGTTCAGGAGTATCAGATCCAAAAGTGCGAACTCTGTACTGTCTGGTACTGTATATGTATACATATGTATAGTATATAGGAAAAACGCACGACAACAATAGTCCAGTACTTTTAGAAATTTTTGCGAAAAAACTAAACATAGGTCGGACTCTTCATAAATCGCTTGTTTTATTGATGAGTATGAGCCCCTGAAAAATCACCGTCCATGGGATACCGGCTTCCGCCCCCCCCCCCGGCCTTTTTTGGTTAAAAGGTTAAAAAAACGGTTTTTTGTTAGTAACTCAAAAACGGCTGGTTCTATTGAAAAATGTTTCAGATAAAAATTAAAGAGCATTAAATTTCTGAAAGTCCTGGACTATTGTTGTCGCGTTTTTTTCTTATATGTATATGCAGTACCGGACAAATGTTTTCGGACAAAAACCTGTTGTTGTATTATGTAAAGAAAGGATATACCACTGATGTTATATTCCCTGAAAACCAGTTGTGTACAAGTTTCGAGCAAATTGCCAACAATAAATGAGAAAAGTTGTCTAAAAAACCATAGCCATCTGTTCCTGCATTTGACTTCGGTTTTGCAGGCAACGACAAAATGGTAAAACAAATGGGCAGAAAGTCTTGCAACATGTATGTCAAATTGAGGACAAAACCGAAACACGGTTTGCGCAACCCAATTTGCTGCAGATGTTGCTACCAATGTACACGCAAGTTGTTCGTAGCAAATCTTGCATCTTTGTAGCCATAACTTTATGACAGGCATTGGAGAAAATTTGGCTTTGCAGATTTGGCTGATTGGGTTAAGTAATTATTATCTTGCTAATTATTATTTTCTTGGATCGATCACACCTTGATATCTACAATAATATTCTTTAAGTGACCTCGTTGAACACTAATTTTTTTTATTGAATGTACCGTCTATTTCGGGATATCCATACGTCAAGAAACCATAGATATTAACGTTCCATTTAAGTCATCTATGGTTTTTTGTTTTGAAATTTTTAACAAACTTTTGCCTCCTACTATCCTTGAATGGATAAAATAATGATAGAATTTGATACTCTCATGGAACTCATGTTTCAGATTACAATTTGTGCTTGTAAATGAGGCGTCCTAATACTTTTCTCCAGCCAAATACACATAGATAAAACTTATTTTATATTTTGTAATACAGTAGATATCGTTATGTAACTACTGTGAAATATAGCATCGAACTAAAGGTAACCATTCTACAGGGCAGAACTTTTGTAACATCATCGTGACAACAAACAAAAATATAAATGTCTGTCTGAATTCATTTGTCCGCTACTGTATTTCAAATGTAGTGGAATAACAACTAGTACATGTGTAACGAGCGTAATTACGTATTAGTCGTTCAACAGAATTAATTACGATCATAGCAACGTTAATTATTTAAATTTGTAAAGAAATGGTACTGCTCAGATAAATAAAGAAAAACTAATAGGAGTTGGTAGTAAGGTAGGTATATTATACTAAATGCAAAAAGTTACAATACATTTGACGTTTGTTTTTTTCTCATTTTCCTTTAACATTAGTTTATGTTTGTTTTTGCTGTGTAACGTTGTCCGTGGTTGTTTAGACACAAACTGGCCTGGTAGACCGAAATAAAAATGTATGCTACAAAAATTCACAACTCCTTAAATTGCCATCCTCTAATTATTATATTGTTATAAATGTTATAATTATGTGTGTGTCTTCGCATTCCTTTTCTTCGTTCATTTATATTCATCTTCTTTTTCATTAATATTAATATTATCATCATCGTTATAATTATTAATATTATTATTAATAGTCACTTAGAAACGAAAACATTCACACTAAAAATTTGCAGCTTTCGTTCAAGTATAAAGAGGCGGTCTCGCGTGACTGTAGCTTTTAAACACTTTTTGAGAAACTTGAACATGTTGCATTGAATTTACTATATGTACTTCGCGAAGAAAATAGAATGAACCACATTATTAATCGAATACACAAATTTCCGAACAATGTTGTCTATGTGACTAAACATTACAGTAAATACATAATTTATTATTTTAAAATGAGAGTTTCTAGTAACGATTATTCGCGTATATATCAGCAGTTTCTCCGGAAAGCAGGCCTCGTATGTGTAGAAACAATTTAGCAACGAAGCCACGCGAAACTGTAACTTTATCTACGACTGAGATCAAGCAGTATCATCGCTACAATACAAAATCAATGTTTTAAAAACATGAAATTTTGTTACACAAAACTTTCGCGAGGGTGTAGCCCTTACTTAACTAAAATACCTTAAGAGTGACGGGGAAGGGACCGAGTACAACGAAGACCAGGCGTTGGGCCAGCGATGACTCTGCTATATCCCAGACATAGCAATTTTAACGCATTCAATTATAAACTATTGCGGATGTTTGAATGTAGATTACTACGTAACAATTTTCATTTGAATGGATCTCGATAAGAAACGTAAATAATTACTTTTCACACGTTCTCAGCCTTAATATCGTAGCATCTTTTGCGGTCTAGTCGTCGTGTACTTTGTGGTTTTTCATTTTTACTTTTAACTGATTTACTACCCTCAACATATATTCTTGTCGCCTCTCTGCTTTGTTACCGCCATGGAAAAAATAGCGTTCAGGTTCATGTACAGTTGGGCCAGAGCGCGATTGTATACGAGATGGCACACAAATTATCATATGCACAACAAATGTTTCACGATGACGGTCGTCTTTGCGAATATGATTTACACTCGTGGCTTTCCTTCTTTCCTATATTGATTCAACTCTGTTGACCTTTCACGCGATAAATCTTTATAAATAATTCAGATTAGAAACAAATAGTAATGAGGCAAATAGATCTAGAAATGTCTCCCTGTCTCTAACAATCGCAGGACTCATTTTGCCAACTGTAAATACAGATTTCAAAATTGTTTCTGATCATTTCTTATTGAACATACTAGTTTGTTGTTGTCGTTTCTCAGAGTATCTTTAACACATTCGGGACAGAAGTGAATTTTTATTGAAATTAAATAGATCAAATTCCAGATCATATGGACTTCCTCAAGTCCACAATTAAATATGATAGATTGGACACACATGAGTCATAATGTCTACGACGCTTTATGTTAGGACAGAATGACCAACACCGGTAGGTAACACATCCTATCATATTACAGCCGGATTGTCCAACGGTGGATCATACTGCCAAAAGCGATGACTTAAATTACTAATTCTGAACTTACATCAATTATGACAGAACGACAGTTGGTGGTCCATATTACCTGTAAGATTTTTGATTCGATTAACTATGCAGAGTGGTCACTGGTAAACCATGCTATCTATAATGATTATATTATAACAGGATGTCCCACTGTTGCATCATACCTTTCTGAATGTGTTAATAGAAAAATAGCATTCCTAAGCTATGTCAATATATGTATATTTACTAATGTAAGGGAACAACTTTTTCTCAACTTCATTTTACAATATATTATAAGAAGTACACGTGTTGAATTTATAATTTTTTACGTTGGTATTTTTTTAAATATTCCAAAAAGCTTCTTATTAGCATATGGAAACTAGGGTGTTTCAAGAACAGGGTGTTTTAAAACCGTAAGCGAAGACTTATTCAGTAAATAGAATTTCAAAACGAAACAAAAATTGGTGCAATACTTAGAAAATTGACTTCTACTCTAAACATCAACTCTTGTATAATTTAAAATTTTCTGTTGTGAATAGACCTTTTTCCTTCTTCCTATTAGCAGCAGCGAGTTCTGCGATCACCAGAGACCATAAGTAAAAAATGGAAATTTTGCAATAAAATTATTTATTTGATCTACAAAACAAAAAAAAAGGTGAAATGTAAAAGGAAAAGAAAATTGGCAGATAGGATTCAGGTAAATACGAATTAAGAGGGAAAAAAAAAAGAGCGTACATTAAAAAAAGTGCATGAGGAACAGAAAATCAAACGAAAATCAGAAGTAGAGCTTAAGTGGTTAATAATTCGGGAAACGGCGAGACCAGCTGCAGTCAAAGGTTAACCGTTCCACTATCAATCGATACCGGTCGATTGATAATCGGTCAACGGTTCGCGAGAAAAGTCGACACTGTGTCTTTTTGTATGCGAGCACAGAACAGCCGCAGTTCTCTACTTCGTTTTAACCAACACCGAGCAACTCTACACACCTATATAAACATTATTTCCAACCTCACTGCGCAAATTCGTAGGTGGAACGTTTCATATCGGCAGTCAATGAATTAACTCGAGAGCATATGAAGTGTACGACACGATATTTCTCAAAATTTCGACGGTTCGTATCCTCTCGTAATTAATTTCGTTTAGTTTGGCTCGTAACTTATTTTATACGAAAGCGGAATTCGCACCGCTTGTGTCTCCTAACCTGCGAATGGAGAAAATTAAAGGAGCGACGTGTATGACGCGTTCCATTGGAAAACGAAAGTTACTATTGTGTGTGTCCGCGCGCGCGCGCGTGTGAGTGTGTGTGTGATCTGCGTACGTCTCCGACACTGTTTCTAGACCCTTAGTCTTTTCGTCAGAGTTATCTTCCGCACTTCTCACCAAAACTTTGCAACAAGATTTTGCTTCTTGGGTGTGTTGACTTGGAAGAAACCTCGGGGACGAGACACGCCGAAGTTTCAAACCTGGATGATCATCACGCGTCGCTCGTTGTACGCATACATGTAGATGTGTATTTCGATCTGAAGAGTCCTGTGGATTGACGTCGATGTATGCAGGACGAACTCGTAGCGTTTCTCATCAAATATCCAACGAACTGGGTTGAATGTTCAATGAATTATCCCCCTATCCACAAACTTATAGTTAAATGCAATAGACCCGATTGATCCTACTCGAGTTCGTGGTCCATACAGTTTGAGCTGCGTCATCTGCAGTTCAGTTGCTTGACGAACGATGCAAGCGTTGCTTTTTTAAGCGTAAAAGGACAGTGCCTTTAATCACGTAGTGTGGCATACGAGATAGTCTTGGATTTTGTGTTTTTGGAAATGAAGATGGTAATTATATACCGGTGACTTGTTCAAGAAGAAAAACAGTCGGGAGTGCCTTTAACTTTGCTGTAAGTATTAGCGGCGGTTCTGGTAGCTTGGATTACTAGGATTCCCGGGTTGCCTCATTCCACCACCTCCCCTTGTACCGTCGCCACCTCGCGAGAATCCACCACGACCGCCTCTCGCACCATGTTGACCACCACGCATCACGCCAGGACCACCTACAAAATACAGAGATATGAATGTTTACGTAGTCTGTGATGATATACTATAAATACATACAGTAATATTAGTACATAAAATAGTAATAATGATCGTGGTAGAATATTATTAATTTCAAAAAAAAAAAACAATACCAGCCAAGTTATTCAGGTGGCCGGTTTTAAGTGCCTCACCCTGTATAGTAAATAGTTGGTGCAATTTTGCAAATCAAATTTTAAATGGAACACAGCAACATGTACGGAACAAACATGTAATATATGTATAAAAGAACAGCCCGAAGAAGTTAACGATATTTATCGAAAAAAATAAATAAATAGTTATATTTTTATAATCATATATACTTCATCATTTCATATTTAAATATACTAGTAGTATGTAATTTTAATTGTTTATTGTGCAGTAGTTTTCAATGGTTGCACATTTTTCCTACAAGTACTCAACAACTATCTTGCAATTCCTGGTGTTTTGTAATCCTCAGTGGAATTCCATCCCACATTTAACAACATACTTTATCAGTGTTTAAAATGTATATATTATATTATTGTATTAAATATTATTTTGTAATTTTTTAATAAAAGTTTTATATTTGTAACTTTGAAATGTGTAACATTTTCTTTACAGGTGGATGATTCGAATCGGAGATTTATGATTTCTATAATTTTTCATGCAACACAATACTAGATCATTGAAAACATGAAAAATTACATGAAACATGAATCTCTGATTCGGAGCAACCACTTCAGTCCATTCGATTGTTGTTAACAGTATATCTATATCAGGGGTGGCCAACAGGCGGCTCGAAAGCCATTCTGTCCCACTCCCCTATCAGTCTGCTCACTTCTGTCGTAGGGGAGTGTTCCCTCTCCATACCCACCGCGAATTTGTTTTGATATTGCTGCGCATGACGTCAAAACAAAAAACAATTAGTGTGCATACTCTGATAGTCACAGCATGCGCGCGTACTTTCTTGCTCCCCTGTCGTCCACACGCCGACTCATTACTTCGTATATTACATTGAGTAGTGGAGGGACGGTCTGTCGGACAGTGAACATCACTTCGTCCTTACCAACGACATGTTGGCCAGGCCTGTGCCAGCTTGGAACCACAGACGAGATATAAGAATAGACCTAACATCTTATACGACTTCGTGTCCCACGAAAATCACGGTGTTTCGAGCGCACCCTTACATAAAAGTTTCCGATTTCAGGAACTACGTTCGACACCGTAATAATACACAGCACACACACATCCGTGATTGTGTATGGCGATACATACATACATTATTGTCCCGATTTCACTAGCAAACAATGAAATACTGAAATGGTATGGGGATTCCTGACGCCCCCGAAACATGGGACAAAAAATTACATTGCATGTTGGGTCTATTCTTATATCTCGTCTGTGATAGAACCAAATAGGTTCTTGTATACATGTGCTAGCACAGACGAGGTGTAGGAGTAGACATTTCATCCAACATATCTTTTCGGCCCACTTCTGGGGCGATGTCGTCCCATTTCCATTTTAGCATCACTACCCACCGCAAATTCATCGTTCTCTTAACGTAGAGCTCGCTAAAATCACAGGTTTTTTTAAGGCATCGGTACTACAGTTTAGGTGGGCCATCAACTCCCATAAGATGAAAAGTCTATTCTTATACCTCGTCGGTGATGCCAGCGTGGAACCAAAACGGATAAATTCCTACTATTTTGCTACTATTGGCCGCTTGGTGTAGTATACATGCTCGGGGACAACGAATTCCCGGGCGCAAGCACCCCCGTTTCTTCTCTGGTATAAATAAGCAAGATGTTTCAATAAGGTTCAGAGATCGTATTCATTCATTTGTTTATTGTCAGCGTTACCAACGTGAGTTATAAAACGGTCTCATTCCTTTTGGAACAGATCACGTATGTCACTGCTAGAAACGTACACTACTTACCTATCAATCTTTACATATAATTCTTGTATTATTAAAATTTATAATATAACTTACCAGGACCTCTTTGCTGTTGTTGCTGCTGTGGTCCGCCCATTGCTCTCATATTACCATCGTTTGAATTTAACCGTCCACCACTTCCATCCATTGTCCCTCTAGGCCTGACTTTCTTCTCTTCCACATTTAATTTTTGTCGATTTTCGGCAGGATAATAAATCGGCTAAAATCGGAAGTATAACAAAAATGTAAACTTATTAACAAAATTTAAACATATAGTAAACTTTTTCCTATAATTATCTATAATTAACTAACCAAGTTCATTAACACTGTGTTAACAACTTGTTTGTCTTCGAAGGTGATGAACCCATAATTAGGCACTTTTCCTGTGTTATTTCCTTGCGGTCCTTTACACCTGTCGTTCGATTTACTATGTATACGCAGCTCCACTACCCTACCGTATGTTTCAAATATTTGTCGTAGGTCATCCTCTGATGCGTTGTGCGGCAAGTTTCCAAGAAATAGTTGGTGAGCGTCACTGTATTGACTTTGCCTCGTACCACGACGATCACCGTCTACAGAATATATAAATTATTTCTAACACGTATTTAAGAAAAACAAAAACGTATATTACATTAAAAACATTGGACCATTCCCATATTTTCCATGATTTGCCCTATATGGAAGAAGGATGTGTCAAAGATAAGTACTCCTCTTCTTGAAATAAATAATTCTTGTTATAAACTTTGTCTCTTCATTATTGGAGATTATGCCGCGCCCACGAAACACTGGTTTTATATGTAGGATAATTCAGATCCCTACTAATACTTAGACAGCGAGCAGCGATTCTTTGGAACGGAGAATGCTGACATTCGAAGAGCAAATAGAAAAGAGAATGAATGATTTTTGCCACATTTCAAGGGCAGAAATGGATTAGAGGATAGCTGAGTTTCTGGAAGTGTCAAGAGCCGAAATACAATGAAAGTCTATAGAAAATCAAACCAATCATAATCAGCTTACTTCGTTACTACAATAACATTCAATACTATTATTTAACATTCTCTATTAATTAACATTCCTCGTAGATTGGACGCGGTACCCGTAACTAATTCTGATATTCGTAGTCGTGTTCCTCCTATCAAAAGTAGGTAAGTACACAATTCTCCTCGTTCCCTATCCTCGGTGCCTTACCTCGCTAAACCCGCGAAATTCAACAATATGTAATATGAAATAAATAATTGGGATGAAAGAACAGAAACTTTAGCTTTGATAGATTCCCTCGAAGGTGAAGCTTTATCTGTTTGGACGTGTATGGAGGAGTCCAAACGGACTGATCTTGCCGCATTAGTTTCTAGATTAAATACCCAATGTGGAGGTGAACATTTGACTCAATTAAACCGATACAAGTTTTATAATTATAAGCAAAATGTTGGAGAATCCCTTCAACAGTGGCAAATCTAATTTGTGTTTTATCGGAGTTGATTTTCTCTAATTCCACCATTGAGTATCGTGACAAGCAGGCTTGTCAAAAATTCATTAAGGCTATTAGAAATAATAATTTGAGGAAGGATATTACACTCGCTTCTATTAATTCCGTTTTTTTAGATGAGGTACTCGCAGTAGCATTGAAAATAGAAGTTTCACATGATTCTATTTATGAGAAAAATTCTGATTCTTCCTCGTATAACCAAAGCTTCAAACAAAATTATAACCCTCACTCGAGATTTCTTTAACTCAGGACCTCCGTTCTTCCGAAATCCGAACTTTCCCTATTACTACCCTCCTGATCGAGATAGAGGGTTGAAACTTGGCACCGGCTGTTTTTCTTGACAAGTTATCGAATGGTATATTACAAGTCCAAATCGGTCTAAGGGCACATTTGTCCCCTTTACGGTACAAACAGATCAATAATGAACGAATAATTTCACTTTGTTTCTTGAAAATGGTCTGTGCGTAATATTAAGTTGGATATTCAATACCAGCAAAGATTTCCATAAGACCGCGGAGTTTACACGACAATGTTTATCAACATGTCCGATTCTGCGTATGAAATCGTAATCGCTTATTCTGTTTTCTTCAGAACTAGCAGTTTTGGTTACGTTACATTTGGTAAAGTTAAAACTTCCGCTTTTTCGAAGCGATGTACACTCACGAGCAAACTCGGCTTCCACTAGGGGAAAAAGTAACACGGAAGAAGGGGCCTTCTACCATGCTCCTACCATTTGGTATTGGGAATTACTGAAATTGATGCCAAATTAACATCCGATGTAACATCTATTTCAGTACCTGAAATCAATTTATCAAGTGGTAGGAGGCCCTTCCCTTACGCCAATTTTTCACCTAGCGGAAGCTGAGTTTGCTCGTCGGTGTACAAAGTCTCTCGAATATCAATCGACATGGTTGCTTTCGTTCAGGATAAATTTCGGCTTACATAGTCATAGCTCTTGTTGCATTTCTACGGCACTCAACATAAACTAAAAGCATATCCACTTTTTCACAACTACTAAATTTTATTTTTGCTTTTATCTTACTGAGATAGTCACGTATAAACACCGATGATAATTTCAATACTTAATCACGGGCAGAATAGGTTAGATTATATTCATAGTTTGATTTATTTTCATAGTACATCTCAAAACTATGTAACTTTAGTTATTTATATCTTCAAAACCTTTGAGTGTCTACACCTAATACTTCACATACATCATTAAGAACCTGCATACTATCATATCACAAAACCCCTTTATAATCGAAGTCGGACATAGGGGTCCTTTCCTTGTTAGTCTCCGCATTGCAAGTGCGTTAACACCGAGCATTCATTTAGTAATTTTACACTTAGTAATTACTGCGACAACACTATACTACGCATACTTATACCAAAGACTGATTATGTAATATATAAGTAATATTCATTAAAAAACGCAATTTTACTCTTGAAATTCATTGGTCTGGTAATCATTATAGTTGTAATTGACCGTTCCCACACGATACAACGTTACCGCTCGAGTTATATCAGATTTTATTTAACGAGTTACGAGACTTAACTAACACTTCCTGCGGCTCCCTAGTTAGGTTCGTTCGCATGCTACCAGCTCCCTGATTTCATATTAGGTACGTCTGTACAGATTTTCCACCCTCCTCGCAGCTCCTCAACTATACGTTAAGTTCGTCTGCACAATTTTATCCTAGTGACTCCCCGATTTCGCATCGGATTCGTCCACAAATGTCACCATCTTGCGGCTCCCTAATTTCGCATCAGGTTCGTCCTCGTTTTCAATCAACCCAGCAGCTCTCTGATTTCGCGTCAGATTCATCCGCGCACCTTACTAACAAACTGATAAATCATATTCCTTGGAAAACCCTACACTCGCCGGCATCCGCGCTGCTCGCGAACATGGCACGTAACGATCCATAAGCGTCGTTGGTGGAGCGGCTAAGAATCTCGACTGCGGAACCGCTGCGAAGTTTTTTTTTTGATGTGGTTCGAGCCCCGTACAAAGCACTGTTGTTTTTTTTATTACATTTATATTTCTTTAAATTTGTAACTAAATGACAATGATTAGTATTTACTTAAGAATATTTTAACCTACAATATACATAGAAACCTCATAAATCTCGTTTTAATGAGATCCTTAACAGTGTGACTATCCTACCCTATATCCTTAACAGAAATACTATTATTTGTCATTTAGTTAGAAATTAAAAGAAAATATAGTATAATACTAGTAAATTACTCTCATGGTTCCATGAGAGTTTAAAAGTCGGAACACCTCTACATATTTTATGCCCCCCAGTGGTGGGAATGAAGTAGGCACGGCACTCTCACGGAAAACTTCCTAGCCAACTCTCATGGATCTTTTACTGTACATTGTGTGGGGCTCGAACCACATCTAAAAAAGCTTTACAGCAGTTTCGCAGTTGGGATGCTTAGCCGCTCCACTAATAACACTTTTGGAAAGTCGGTCAATATTTTAGTATATAGCGGATACAGCATAGTTTTAATTAAGTTAATGTCACTGTCAACATCTATAATTTAGATACTGTTTTACTGGTATTTACTTAATAAAGTAAATACCAAAATTGAAAGTATAAGTTAATATTTCACGGAAAAAACATCAAAAATATGGGGTTTTGATTTTTAACAGTACGGCGCACCCTACCAAAAAATCTCCAAAAATTGAGGACAATACTTGTGATAATATGTTGTTACTGTAATTATATAAATATAATCGATTTAAGATCTCAAGAAAAACAAGTTTCATTTCTATTGCGTTTTTTATTATTAATAATTAGGATTTTCAACCAAGAAGTTGCAGAAAATTATCTATCGCGTGCTTCGGCAAATACTATTTATCAGATTTTTTACAAAAATTTGTATGCGATTAAATAGAAGAAATAGAGGAAAAACCACATAATCCGGATTTTCCTTACTACTATCCACCTGGTCGAGGTAGAGGGTTGAAAATTGATACGAATCGTTTTTTCTTAGTAAACTATCGAATGGTATATCATTTGTCCAAATCGGTCTAAGAGGACTTTTGACCCCCCTTATCCGGCTATACCTTTATGTTATGTCAATTCAAGAAATGCCACTGTCATCAGAATTTAGATCCGCTTAATGTGAGGATTGAAAGGAATAACAGAGAGTAACAGTAGTCAGTAAAACAGAATTAGACAGTAGAATAGGACTCGTAATTAAACTGAAAGAAACCTGGTAGAATAAACAGGGTATTTAATTTACCTCGTTGTACCGCTCCACCTCTTGGAACCCGTTGCTGTTGATGCTGTTGTTGCTGTGGCTGCTGGTTCCCAACTCTGTGACTCTGTTGTTGTTGCGTTGAAACATTACTCGATGTGCCAAGTACAGGTCCACTACTAGTTGGATGCAACGGTGATCTATCATCTAAACGCAAATTCGTCATTGGAGGCTGTAAATATAAATTCAAATATATTTTATCAACTTAATGTACTTTTGTACTCGTGTACTTTTATTTGTTTTCAAGGTTGCCTTAATTAAATCATTGAAAATAAAATATATACCGGCGACGTGGACAACTTTGGAGCCTGAGGACTGGTAGCACCTGTGCTACTTGGAAACGATTTGACAAGATTGGCATACGTTTTTGGTCCACTACTGGTCACATTCGTATTTGGCAACTGATGTTCTGGTTCAGACTCTTGTGTAGTAGAATTGAACGTCTCAGGCTCAGGCTGCTCAAGGTTTTCAGTAGACTGAGTCTGTTGTTGTTCGTTTTCAGTTTGCTGTTGCTGTTCAGCCACGCTATCTAGTTCAGTTTCCGGTACAAACTGTGTTTGTGTTGTGGGTTCATTGATGTATTGGTGCTGCTGTGCAGGTGGTGGCGGTGGTGGCTGCTGCTGTTGTTGTTGCAGTGGTGGTTGTTGGGTAATTAGTGGGGTTTCTTCGTGAACAGAACCATTTAAAACTTGTTGCATTACCGGGTGCACCTAAAAGAAATATTTACTTAGCATCACATTTCACTTGGGTATTTAATTTAAGGCATCAAACTAACATGAGACTGTTGCGGTAGCGGCGCATAGTACATCTGCTGTTGCTGAAGTACAGGTTGTTGTGCAGGAATAAGTGGTGGCTGGGCTTGTGGTTCTGTGGCTGTAGCTAGGGCTGAAAGTTGCTGCCCTTGATTTTGATGTTCATCTTCCTCGGGCTCAGAACGCCCTCCTTCTTCCCCTTCCCTCTCACCGGACTCACCTACACCCCCCTCTACACCTGCTACATCTGCTTCCTCCTCGTCAGGAAAGATCAAATCTTGGTAACGGAATATATCGTTATGTACATAGTATGTTTTTGGTGCTTGTATTGCCAACACAAACGTTTGTGTGAAACGACGCATTGGTTGTCCCGCATTAGAAAGTTCTCCAGATACCTACGAGCAATTAAATACAATAAAAATTAATGTCGAATTTTGTGCAATAGTACTTTATATACCTAATACGGGTTTGATCCGCACAGTTTTGTCGGTAAGATATTATAATTTAATTGAAAGCTGGTACAACATAAATTTGACGAACTAAAATATATAAAACAAACTATTACAATAGTGTATGATTAGTGTAGTTTTGTATAACACTGGATTCTCTGAGAATCAATTGACCATGTTATAGAACCTATTGCACTACATTACTATTTTAATAAATAAATATTAAACTGGCAACTAGTGTCACAGTATTGATATATGACCAATCACAGTTGGAGGAAACTCGATATATTTTGGAAATACAACTGTTTAATAATATGTTATGACATATTTTACGATATTGAGTATCAAATTTTATATGGATAATGACTTATCCTAGTATATATCTATTAAAATGATCAAGTTTTATAAACATTCGGCAAACTTATATTATTTTGTTAATATTTAATTCTTAATCCATATATGTATTCATGTAGATGACACTGTGTTCGAGGTGTTGAAGAAACTTTTTTTTATCTTTCTCCTTGTTTTAAGAATAGTAATAAATTTAAAGTTAGGTTTGCCATACTTATTATATATAATGGCCACTCACTTGTACAACTACACCATTTTCAAGTGTCAACTGTGAATCAACTTGACTTATCTTAGCATGACAGTCTCGAAAGTTTAGCTGTTGAATTTTCTGATGTATTTGCTTCTGGCCAATTGCTGGAGTTGATTCTCTATTAGAATCTAGTCCTCCGTGCACAAAGGAAGAATGTTGATTATAGAACCTAAAATAATATTTAATGTAAACAAGGTTATATTAGTCGCTAGATTAGTCACAAAATAATATAATAAATTACCTATGAAGATGTGCTGGAGCCTGATTAAGTAAAGTATAATATTGTCGGACAAATTCACGACCGACATTTTGTGGAGAAGGGGATGCCTCCATGACCATTTTCTTACTCCTAACGTCTGAAGTAATACTTTGCTTAAGCAGCAATCAAATGTTTGCGTGGCAAATGTTCTACAATTAAAAAAATTCTGTAACAAATAAAAGTATATATTTAATTATAAACGGTTAAATTAAAATAAGACTTCAAAATTATAATTCAATAAACAATTTTTGGATATATATCATATATATATACAATTATATATCTGATTTAATCTTGTTTCTGAGTTGTAACTGATTTTAGATTGTAGTAATTTTTGTACAAAATTGAATTAGTTGAATTGATGGGTGGACTTTTAAATACTATAAATAATATGAAAAAAGGAATTATTACTACTATAATTGTTCTGTGCTTTTTGTCTTGTGGGAACACTTAACATACTTATTGTATTTGTTTAATATAAAGAATGTAACAAACTTAGAATAAGAAATAGAAAATGTATGTCATATATTAGCAAATAAATCAAGAGTGCTTAAAAATATACATTGATCTGTGATTCAAAGACATACAAGTTATGTGGCAATTTCATATAAGTAGATATATCTTTTTATTTTTGCAATTCTCTTAGAAATAAGAAATCATATTTTACACAAAAAAGATTGACTTTATTTTAAGACCAATATAATACCCAACCATTACTAGGTATCTTTATAAGTAATATACATAAAATTATTGGAATGTAACATTCAAATACATTTTGAAATACCTACATTCAATAGTTCAAATATTTAAAAATTTTAATATTATTACAATATAGATTGATTGAATATTTTAACAGAGACAAATTCGATCTTACCATAAATGTATAAAATTTGCATTTTAATTATAATATAACAAAAAACAAAAGTATATCCACATGAGAGGTGCAGAAACACGCACATCAATCTAAGTGGCTCTCTAAATATCACATGAGAGTGATGTGCCAAATAGAAAAACTCTTAACTACAATAAAATGAAATTAAAAACAGTATCCCATATATTTTTCCAAGAACAATGTCTGTGTTACACTATGCCCAATTCAATCCTTCACAACAAACACAAACATATACAACTACATAGCGTTCACACACGATAAACACAATAGAATTGCCAATCGCGTGTTAAAATTCAATTCTATTTAATGATTTTATATTAAGCTTCCTTTAATTGCAATTCACACGTTAGAAGAAAACGTGTGTTCTAACACATACAGAAGTTAACAGAAAATTGGTGTAAAAGAGTTCTTCGAAAACAAGAGATCCCTCGATTCATGTACCATGCAAGAGGTCGAGGGCAAGGGGGCTGCCCGGTTGCACGAGCAAGCATGGCGATTTTTCTTCGTTCGAGAATCCATAATGCTAATCAAACCGACAGGAAATTTCCAATACAGTTAAAAGCGGGTATCACTGTCTTTTACGAGTTAAATGGTAAATATCGTTTATAATTCGGCAATAAGACACTCGCGTCTCATGTTCGCCTTTCTGCGAGTTCTTCCCTCCGAGTGGTCGAATGAAAGAACACAGATCTTATGGCGTGCTAGACTCACCCGACGGAATTGCTTCTAGCCGATATAGTCACTGGCTTTTCCAGGAGGGACGAGAAGTTGCTACGAAAACGAAGAGCTCGCGCGAACAACAACAGTTCACAATAATGGTAATTATAAAAACAGTTCAATGTATGAGTCCTCCGAGCACCTTGATGTCAGCACATGCAGCGGAACCTGCACAGAAGCACCGGTCGTACGAAGATGAACGACTCTCGTATTCAAGACGGAGCTGTGCGGACTTTGTAAGAACTATTTTGTCCATTGTACCATCAGGGAATATGGTTTCTCTGGTATGCTAGGACTTTGATTGGTTACAAAGATTAGTAGTTGCAAAACGGACCAATTGTAGGAAAGATTGAAATAAAAGATTTTGACGTTGGTGCGGCTTCCGATAGGTCCAATGAGGTATTAGGTTCTGCTAAATCGAGAATTGTATTGGGTAAGTGGAATGACGCACTTAGATTGCTGCTTTTTCTCGATATAGATACTGAACAAATTATTTTTGCAAATACCGTTTGTAATATTTGTTTCATTTAAGAAAGAATTGTGGTGTTTATGCAGTTAGATTTTTCTAACTAAATTTTTATAAAATTTCGCAAATTAGATTACAAAAGTATCGATTTGCTTGAACATTTCATACAATTTTCATAGATTCATTGAAACAACAGAATACTATATGATGCAAAACATAATTTAAATTAACTTCTAACACAGGAACATTACATTTAATTATAAATTATCAAACTTGAAAATGAATTATCTGTGTTTATAGTGACATAAAAGTATATAAATATTTTCTGCATTGAAAAATAAATTTTATGTAATACAAAAATTACTGCATAATTCGTTATTGGTAAAATAATCTTTCACTTTTAATATTTACTCCATTACGAATCTTGTTAAAATTAAAATTGAAGTAAATATGAAGTCATGAATTTTTGTCAAAAGATAGAGCAAATCTATTATACCCGACTTTATGTTATCGCATACTCACATTTTGAAATACTTAATACATACCTGTAAACAAATAAATTGTAATAGTTTATATATTTAAAAAGTATATTTGACACATTCAATGTACGAAGCACAGTATACTTCTTAATGCTAAGTAAAAACTAACAAAAATAGAAAGATACAAAAAAAGAAGTATAAATTATGATTGTAGAATGTTCGAAACTTTTAATAAGTTTTGTCTTTCACCTATTTTATAAAATTATGTACCTATAAAAAGTTTGTCGTAATTATTTCTTAAATTGTAAACTGAAAGTAATAACGAAACAATTATTTATAAACTGATAAATTACTCAAGATAAAAGAATTCACAATTTTACTAATTTAACAAAATAGTCTATTGTTGTTCACAAAAGCCATATCAATCGTTTAAGATTTTGTTTCCAGTACAATTTAAACGAAAACAATTACTTTACCGAGGCTAAAGTACTACTATATCATAATATAAAATAAATATTCGGTATTTAATGTTTTTAATGTAATAAATAAAAATACTAAGACTTTGATTTTGAATAGAACAATGACAATTGTCATTTTGTTTTTCCTTTGGTACAAAACCAACTACTGACATTAGATTTAATTAATAAAAATATCAATTTCTTACTGCAATATGGAATATATGTTAAATTGCACAAACATAATACAACGCAGAAAAATAAGATAAAAAGTCCTTAATAAATTGAAAAAGAAATTTTACAAGAAAATAAATTGTCGCTTTGAACGTAATGTTGAATCGCGTTATATTAATTATATCGATGTAGTGAGTTTCGTAAACTTATATACTTGAACAGTGAAATTAAAGAAGGGCAACACTTTTCGCTAAATTTTTTAATGTAATACTTTTGTGACATGGAACAGTGTTGAATTTGAGAAAAATACAATATTTTCTTTCACTTTAAAAACCTTATTACGATGTTCTTTGCCTAGAATGAAATTGTCGATATATATAATGTACATGTGTTATTCCTTGAGTGTAAAATTAAAACTGAAAGAATACCTAACTTGATACATGTACTGTAGTAGATTCAGCAAAATATTTTTTTGTAATACAAAAAACACTAAACTTCCGTGTCAGTCTTATTTTAAATCTAGTGTATAGACGTTCGTTCGCTATGCTTTAAAATATCGTGTACATAGTTTCTTTTTCTTTCAAAAATTAAATTATTAGGATCGGTTAACACAAATACAAACATACGCGAGATATATTTTATGTACACAAAATGAATTTATTTTATCCTATTTTCTCTTACCAATAAGGAAGCAATAATCTTTTTACCTCATTTCACATACCTCACACAGTTCATTATAAACAACTCGGTACTTTTCATTTCGTTTTTGTCTTAACGTAGTCGTGTAAAAAGTACATTGCCTGCTTACTTTTCTATAGTGGGCTTCATAATCTTATTAAGTTTAGTTCTTTTATAGACAAATTAAAATAATCTTATTGTTAAAAATAAGGACCAAATTGCTCCTCTCTCAACAGTCCCCAAGCGGTGAATGAGAAAACTTGATTCTTCCTAATATGTGTATTTAAATTATTTCCTGTCATCTTTTGCTTTCCCATTTGCACAAACACGTTCGATATTACGTTACAATACTTCATCGTAAGGTGTAACGACGATTTAGTCATTCATGCGTCTGGAATTACATATTTTTCACAGAACTTTCAAACGTATTACGATACGACAGTGCCTTACGTTGAATCACGTAACGTATTCGCGATAAAAAAATTAAATGATAAATAAGATGAAAAATGAGAGACCAATGAGAAACATGAACCATTTTCGACTTTGTACAAAAGGGTAAACGAGAGATGGAAGAAAGCATCGTGTACCTATATGTATGGTATGTATGTGTGTGCGTGTGTGTGTGTTGTGTATATACATATATATATATATATAATATATATATATATATATAATATATATATATATATATAATATGTTTTGCTTTTGTTTTCTGTCTCGATAATACAATGTATTGCTAGACGCAAGATGTGACACTATTACAGTTTCTGTCGTGGCTCCTGATGATTCGTTTTAGTTTGTGGCAGTAATCTGCGTGGTTGAAAATCTTGTTGAAAGTGGCGTGGTTTAATGGAATGATGATTTAACGAGTTATGAGATTTGTTGTAGGACAGGAAACCTGAAAAGAAAACAAAAAAAAAATTAAACATTCACTTTTGTATCACTACTGTCGTGTTTAAGTTATTCTGTAACCATATGAAGCATTTACATGGGATTGAAAAATGGCTGTCCATATTAATAATGTGTCAAACACACTAATATGAGCGTTGCTTCATTCGTAATATTAATATAATAGAGAGAAAAAAATAAATAAACGTTTACTACAGAACACTTTTTGCTTCCTAAACACAATTTTGAAATTTATAATAACTTTAAAGCTCTTAAACACTTTAAACTTTTTTGTAAAAAATATGTTAAAATGAGTTTCGCATTAATACCTGCAATTATAGTTTAGTAATAAACATAACTTATCATTAATCACATCTATGATATAAACCTACCATCTTTAATTTTTCATAAATTCACAAAAGGGCTCTCACTGGTGGGTCAACTATTCTCAATATGTTACAAAAAATTACCAGCAGATACCAAATATAAAACTCACCGAACAGTGATATTAATGTAACCTTTTATAAACACGATTACATTTTAAAGAGTGGTACATAATGTTATAGTAATAATATTGTTACCATTAATGTTCCTGAAAATTAATTTAGAATTTTTCTGAAATTGCTATAAAAATGAAATCTTTATTGTTAACTGATTACCAACAGAAAACATGCGCGTTCATTATGGAGGATCATGAACTTAGGGATAGGAATACGCTCGTACATGTTAGTATGGACAACTATTTTTGAAGCCACTCTAAATGATTTTGGAAAAGGAAGAGAAAGGTTGTCGATATTTGAGTTATAGATGTCAGAGGAAAGCTATGATGACTCACCAGCGGTTACAATGCGAATTGCATTGCGGTCGCAATGAATGATTTCCATTAATAGGGTTGGTGCCTTTGGTTCTGACGACCACCTCCCCTCTGCTTTCCGCCGTAGCCTGAGCCTCCTGAAACAATACCCATGACGTACGTTAGTCCAGCAACTTGGTTATTCCCACCCTTCTCCTTCCCACCGTTTTTTTTTTATTAAGAAGACCGTACAAAAAGGTCTATTTGTATAAAAATTAACGCACGCACACTTCTATTAATAACAGAATAAATAATATGAAAATACAGACTAACGTAATGGATATAAGACTACAAAGAATCTACATAGAGGCTACAGGCTAAGGTAGTAAGCTGCAGGCTGCGTTCTGATTCAAATTCTCCTTTTCTCCTTACACATTTCTGGGATCTTCGTATGCTGGAATACTAAGAGGATATATCGAATATATGGTTAACTATTCGAGTTACTTAAATAGTCTATAATAACCTTAAATAAATTTCTATTTTAATCTTAAATTAAATAATTCTTAGATACTGTTAGAACAGTATGTCATTTTGTATATGCTACTATTAACTATAATCGAAACTAGTTCTACAAAATAACCAGAAATGTTTAAGGTTAAGGATGTGAAGATGAAGCAAAAATGATATGAATTTAGCAGTGTAATATGAAATTGAATTTTGATGTCTTTCATTCGTCACATGTACCACAACATTGGACGGATGAAAAATTTTGATCAAATTTAACATGCATTTAAATGTGTTCATAAAAAAAATAAAACGAACAATGTAGTTTTCGTTAATTGGTTGACACAGTTCAAGGTACTAATGACAAACCGAATTTTCGCTAGATTTTGTCATGACGAGTATTAATGAAGTAATATTATTCATTTATTACTCGCAAAAATTATACAACATATATTTAATTCTAGTTCACCATTTATGATTGGTAATACTTCTAAGCATAAGTTATATTCGTGTAAACTGCTTGGATTTAATGGCACTTAATATACTAACGGAGTAATTACTAACAAAAATTTTCTTTAACCAAACGTGTCAAATTTAAAATAATTTTGCTTTCTTTTTAATACAGCTAATGACAGGTTTCCGTCGAAGAATATATTAACTCTTTAATCCTCTTCGATAAAAATGATTTTCAGTATTTTATTGTAACACATTTATCAATATTTCAATATCTAATAAAGTATAAAAACTACTTAAATGTGATATCATAAGGCAATATATCTATGAAAATTAAAGTACTCAGCAACTGTATTATAATCTAACATTGTATCTAAATTACAGAACCATAGAAGGTTAAATAAATCATACTGGTGAAGTGCATATATTGACGCATTTGTATGTATTTATTTCACTAAGAATTTTATTGTATTGTGAAGCTGATAAACCCCTTAAAGGGGGAAATAAATTTTTGTTTCATTCCGGTATTGAAAGTTTGTAACTGTGTTTTCAAACTATAATAATAGTTTCTCACTAAAATTAAATGTTTACATGGTTTTTAAAAGCCATATAAACTGCATACATTTAGGTATCTTAATTTTTATTTTATTTGGTTAAAGAAAACAAACTATTTTTGGTAAATGACTAGAAAAATGAACTGTACAGAGGTACCATTCAAAATGGAGATATCTGCATATAAAGAAAAAACTTTTTTGAGCATATGGCAATGTGAATCAGTAAATCCTGGAAATTTATGTTTACCTTTAGATTATTATGATATAATAATAAAATATAAGTTCCATATGATCACACGTACATGTACACACATACTCAAAGAAAATAATAGGATATGATGAAGGAAAAAGACAAATAAGGTCGAAAATGATTAATGAAATATAATACTGAATGACAATGATTTATGCTAGCAAAGTGGGACGGGGAAGTACAAAAACAATAGAGAAGGAACGCTAATGCGTACCTTTACCGCGTGCACCACCGCGCCCACCACTGTAGCCACCATCGTAACTACCACCGCCATAGCCATAGCCGTCTGCGTTTCATGGAACACACGGTACAAGAGACAATGGGGTCAGTATTAACATGTACCGGCAGAACTGTATTTTTATTTCTATATTAAAATATCTCTACAATAGTAATACCAATTACCGGTATTTGAATGGAAATCTTCATTTAACTTTTAACGTATTGAAAATATAACATACGAAAATGTAATTAAATATAAGAAACTAATATCTTCCAAAGGGTTAATTGTTTGCACATTCAATGTATAAAAAGAAGTGCAGAGGCTGTTGTTCATTACTTTTCAATAGTAATCATCTGAATGCTACTTGAATTACATTCTTTTTTAATTTCATGCATTTAAATTTTTCGTTTTGACGAAGTACTTCAGTGTAATATACAGAATAATTTGCCACAGTCCCAGGGAAAGGAAGTGTGTGCAGGGTCGAACACGCACGTGTATGTGTTTTAAATACTTTTTGGAATATCTACGGGATGCATGTACCATGAAATGATTTTGTGCCGCATATACTTTGTAGTCTGACCTATAGAAAATGACATGTTTGTTTTATTTCACGAATGAAACAAAAATCATGCTACAGACAACGGAAAGCAATTAATAAAAGGAATAAGTGAAACACAATAACTGCGAGTGTTGATAATTATTGTCAAAGAAGTATGTTAATGCTTCATGAATGAGATGGTTACGTGAAATTTAGAATAAAACATGCACATTAGGATTAACAGGACTGGTAAGCAAGGATTTTAAGGTTTAATACCATTCCATACGACATATCGTCCTGTGTAGTTTTACTTTAATGTTTTCTACACATTGTAAGTTCACATATAATGATGTTACAGTGACTGCGTGTATTTGAAGTCAGCGAGTCTGTAGAATTTATAATGAGAAGCAAAAGAAAATATGAAAAAGAATTTACTCTACGGAATCACTAACATCAATCAGTGAACGTATGAAATATTAATACTTGTATGCGTTTTCAAGAAATTCGTGAATATGTGCCCACTGTATCCTATGTAAAAGCACTGAACTACTACCAATATATTTTAATTTCAGTGACGAGTATGTGTTACTCTTCACACATTCACTGTTACATATTATATGATATCTTGCTTTTTGAAATTCATTATTAATGTCATATTCATTCATATGTATGTGTGTATATATATAGATGTTAAACATTCATGAGACATTAAAGAATATAATGTAATCAATTTGCTAGTGTTAGTTCATCACAGCTCAAAAACAGCCAACCCTCTGGAAGTAGGGATTTACTCTTCGAATTATGTTCCTGTCATTATTATTTGTGTTTATTACATAAAAATTATAGAAGAAAACTGAAGTAAACCTAACTTCCACTTCTTAAATCCCTATAAAATGAAAAAATTGTTTATTATTCTACATAAAAATGAAAACATACAATCGGAAGCGAAAGTATTTGTTTAGCCAAAACGTGAATGTCCAAGACTATTTTTTATATTAGTGTACACTAGTTACTGTATAATACTCTGAGGTTTTTGAAAAATAGTATTTACATACAAATATTCAATTACTATTATTTACAAAACTCCATAATTAATTGTTTTTCTGTAAATTTGTTACCACTCAAGTTAATGCATAATATAATAGTATATCATACATATTTGAATAATTGTTAATACAAAAAATATCATTTTTTTTCACACTCTTATAGTACAAATACTTCTCACTACATAACATATACTCAACAGTAAAATAAGAAAACAAAAGATGTACTTATTTAATTGATATAAAAACTTAGCTTTTTGTATGTAATATAGCTATGCTTCTGATTGTATGCAATGCATTCAAAAGCAAAGGAACACAATCCGAATGTATTTTCTATGTATTTGAGCTGCTGGTTCACTTTATTCGTGTAATATGAATGTTTTCACACAGAATATACTGTCAATTTTGAAAATATTTTAAACGTATTTGCAAAGATCAATTCGTTCTTGGATTAAAGTGACTTTAAATAATACTATGCAAAAAAATAAAATCTATCGCTGATCCGCCTGCAAACCAGCGCTCACCCTGCAGCATCTGTTACTAATATCATACATCTTTTATAATTTTGTATGATACATACATACAATGCCAATTTTATGTCATTCCATCAATGTACTACAAAGTAGTACTATAGTGGCAGACGATTATAACTTATATAGTGGAAATTGTTTTTGAGACAAAATTCACTTAGAGTAAACCATTGAGTGGGTAGGTACGTAAAGAGATTTTTGGTCAATATGGTCGCATATGTATATGCTGTAAACACTTCAAATTTGTTTCAAGATTTATTTAATCTAATCGGATAACTCTTGAGCTTCAAGAACCAAAAGATTCCGTTTCTTAATTTTAAATTTATATTTATGAATGCTGTTTAGATTTAGTATAATATTATAAACGACAATTCTTCATAATATAATCATACACAACATTTTCAAACAAATAGTACCTTAACATCTACATGTTTTTCTAGACAATGACGGTAGCAATCATTATTCGTAACTTGTTTAATTTCTTTTGCTGCTTAAATCTTTGAAGTATAAAAATCAAATATCCGATCCGATTAAATAAAATACGTTCCACACCAAACATTCAAAAATACACGTTCTGAGCATACATATGTGACGAAATATGAATTGTTTGACTTTGAACACTGGTAATTTCAGAGAATCCTACGATTCTCGAAATTACAGCGTAAAAAGTGAATGAAAGACACAGGGTAAACAGATCGAATATAAAATCTATAACTTATAATTGTAAAGTTGCGTTATCGTCTGCCGAATACACTGGGACGGTAGCAGCAGACAATCATCTGCCATTGATTATTATGAAAAAGGAAAACCAAACTCTTCGAAATGATCCTACACAGCGATAAGCGGTGTGTAAGTTCTTTAATAATAATCAATCAAATTACCGTATCCACTGTAGTCGTAACCACCATAGCCGCCGTACCCACCGCCGTAATAATCGTAGCCTCCTCCGTAGCCATCATAGCCACCGCCATAACCGCCTTGGCCGTAACCGCCGCCATAACCGCCTCCGTATCCACCTTGACCCCAACCACCTTGACCGCCAAATCCACGTCCTCTACCACCCCTTCCGCCACGGCCGCCACGACCTCCAGCACCACCGCGCATGCCTCCCATACCGTCTGGTTTAGGTGTGGCTTTCTTCACGTCAACCTATGTGAAAATATATATAATTATTACTTTAGGATTATGTCAAAAATACTTTTCTATATATCTTGCGTTTAGAATCTTTCGATCTACCTCTTTTCCATTAATCGTTTGTTTGGGAGTTTTCAGTAATTCATTTACTACTTGTTCAGACTCAAAAGTAATGAAGCAGAACCCTTTTCTTTGGTTCTTTGTCTTGTCAAATGGCATTTCTACTTCGACAATCTAGAAGAATTTCATTTTATTAAATCGTTAGTCTAATGATAGTAATTGGTAATTGTTATGCAAGTACGGTACAAGTATGGTACTTACAGTTCCAAATTGTGAGAAGAAATTTTTGATATCATCATCAGACAGTTCCGTTGAAAGACCGCCAACAAAAATTTTACCATGTCTTGCCTTTGCCTTCTTGGGATCAACCTTCTTATTGTTGATTACATGATCACCAGCTGCCATAATCTGAAAACAAATTATTTGTATGAAACATATTGTAATTCCTATGTTTATGAATTTAGTTGATAGTTTAAAATCAGAATATGGAATGTCTTCAAAAAAAACTCAGTAGCAGAACTGACAATTGAAAATATCATCATATTGAGTTAGCATTTTACCAAAACTTTTGTACTACTAGTACTTATTGTTTTTATCTTCATTGTTTACACAGACACACATTTTTAATGAAACAAACCAAATCCATTGGTGGACATGCAATCTGTTCGTTATGTTACAACGATTTTTATCACATCCAACTAAAAATGAAGAATCATATCCTAGCAGTTAAATTCAAATTTCAATTTTGTCGCGTAAAGAACATTGATATTCGATGTTTTTAATAATTATGACAAAATCGTTACTGAATGTGTTAATATGTAATTAATTTACCTTATCGAGCGATTCCGCTTTCGCAAAGACAATAAAGGCGAACCCTCGCGATCGTCCTGTATTGGGATCTGTTTTCACATTAATACTCTCAATGTCTCCATACGTCCCGAAGTGATCTCGTAATTCCTCTGAAAGTCAAAATGTCACTTAGAAACTAATGACAAAATTGAAGTTTCTATAGTACTCAATTTTTTTTAGAATATAAGACTCAGTTCTTTATATAATTAATCTCACATGACTTAATGTCATCTGAAGGTGTCCTAAGATATAACATCATAGTTTATAAATAAAATTATAGTCTTTTAGAGAAAGAGTAACTTGAAGAAGAAGAAAATACTCACTATCTGTAGTTTCCCAGCTTAAGCCACCAACGAATAATTTCCTGCAAAAAGATAAGATAAAATAATTATTCGATGACGAAATATAATACCTAAAAACTTTTAAAAATATTCGACTTCGTACGAAGTATAAATTCTTGTGTAAAGCTTCACGATTATCCAAAAAAAAAACTATTGTACTTGAATCCTGTTTATGTAATGTAACATTGTTTAAATACTCACTGCCATGCACGAACTCAAAAAAAAAAATAAAACAAAAAAAGTAATAAATGTTTGAAGTACCTATCATTCAAGGAATCCTGGTTACCTCCGGTCGACCTGTAAAGCAATGTAAGGAATTTTAATAAACCAATCTTTAAATTTTTCTCTAGTTATTAAGGACTAAGGTTGAAGCAAAAATTTATGTTTTGTTATAAATCATTTCCACTAATATTTTAAAAAAAAGGAGTTTGACTTGACCCCTGGAAAAATTAGAATCAGAGTTAAAATATTAAAATTTAGTATTAACAATATACAAGAACTGTAATAAAGAACAAGAAGTGTATCATTTGGAAAAGGGGCACTGGATGAATTTGTAAAGACATTTTGGTAAGGAATTTTATTTAATAGGTAATATGTAATTTATTAAGTGCTTCTTAGGAATATATAAATATATACTCGTGTATAAATGTAATCTACAGTTGATTAAGTGACCTACATTAATGTCTACTTCGAAAATTTGAAAGAATGAATATGCTTTGTAAGAATAAAAGTATCATCTTAAATTCAAACTTGCAGTATTAATATGAACACGAGAAAATACCATTCCTAGAATAAATGAACTCACTGATACAAGCTTATTATACAAAAGATACGAGTGTTCGTACTTAATAAGAAACATAGGATTATGAGAAAGAACCATTAGAAGACTGCTTTGCACACACCACATAGACCTTGATTTGAACTTCAAATAAATGTACTTGTCAACAAAAAATTAAAGGAAAAACTTGGAAAAAAGTGTATATATGTGTGTATGCATATAGATATGTATGCATTATACATATACATTATATATATATATATATAATGTATATATGTATAGATATGTAAAAATTAACGCAATGAGAGAGCAAAGTACTTTTGACGATGTTCATGTGAACCCAAACAATAGTTACAACTCCAGTTGACATACAGCTGCTCCTAAAGGAAATAAGATTTAACTTTTCCAAGTTGAACTCTGACTGCTGATTGGCCCAAAGAATTGGCATATGGTAGATAGACTGCAACTCTATTAAAAAGCTAAAAAAATTGTTTCCGCATTACAAGTTAATGATGGTCACTTCTTGAATCTTTTCTAATATCTTACTTAATATGCATACAATATTGGACGTTTATATTTATGTATATATATATATTTATCTCTCTTTCTTTCTTTAGTTGTCAGCAAAATATTATTATGTCTCAAGTCCTGATATACTTTTCAGCCTTTTCGTACACAAATACAATTATTAGCTGCAATATTTTTCGCTTTTCTGGCAGTGTGATGGTAGTTGTCTGTACTTAAGATTGCTCTTTCTGTATATCATCTAGGGCTGGTGATAAATACCGTAGGCACCAGTCACTCGCCGGTAATCAGTTGTTGGTCGGGTCACGGTTAGCCGGTTGCGAGCCGCCCGCCATAATCGCACTGGGTCGTTTGCCACCTGCAGACCAAGCCACATAAACTGGGTTAATGGCATTCCGACCTATCGGAGGTTTTCGCATTGGCCCTAGTGACTCTGTGCTTTGATCACGCCCAAACAGCTTTGACATCGGATCAGAAATTACTCTACGCGTGACCCAGCAGGCAAGTGTGTGTCTGTGCGAGACTTATTGACTCTGACGTTATTGACTCGACTTCCAGTGCTTGTGTTGTGACGAAACATGACGGACTTGAACTTGACGTAGACTTCTCGCAATAATTCAGACTTAGAAGTCAATTGTTAGGCTTCACACGTTTCAGTTCACAGATCCCAGGTAAGCGTACATATTGGTCAATCGTATGCAATTGACTAACAACCAGAATTCTGCTGCAATGAATCAATGAGGAAGACTCAGCTGGCCAAAAATGCATTTCAAAGTAATACGCACTCTATAAAAATATTACAATTATTATTTCCGTGTAATGTACACAAATTTGATCATTCATTTGAATCGCAACTTCTTTTTATCAATTACAAAACTAGAATAGAATTAACTAGGTAGGAGAGCAGAAATAAGGAGTTTACACAAAATTACAAAATTTTTAAACAGATACACGTATACCTCGCAACAACAGCACATATAAAGTTACAACTAATACTTATTTTATATATGTATATAGGTACCTTATCTTAATTGTTCAAGAAAAAACAACATGCAACATTTATTTTCTATTTATTTTGTACATTAAGTACTTATATTGAATAGCAGAATGCCAGCCATCAGTTATTTACTTCTGTTACTTTATGCATAGCAATCACGTCCTTTTACACGCACACCTGTATTTCAATAGAGAGTGAGAAGAGGCACACCTCCAAATTCTTACTGCATTTTAAACATTATATCAACATAAAAAATATGACATATTTAAGATTGGACCTCATTTTTCACAATGTCATTGTGAAAAGAATAATCTATTTTCGTTAAATTTGAAGGTTACATCATCTTTCCCTGTATCATTTTAACTCGCTAAGCCAGACGTGGGGTTGAATTCTAGTCTAAGTATTTTTAAATGATTTGTCAAAATAGTTTATTAAATGCAAATTAACTCATGAATTATTTAACTTTAAACTCTACATCAAATAAAACAGAAAAAAATTCATCTTGGCATAGGTTGTCATATAACAATTTTTTAAACCTCTTTGAAAGTTTGTAACATGCCATTTGTAATTTATAAGCATGTTTTTATTCATTTATATTTATAGTGATTCCAATGAAAAAAGATAAGATATACTTTCCTATGAAGACAATACTTTTCAGAGTTATAATTTTATACGTAGACACAAATAATTTTAAAGATCAGTATAAATATTTTAATAGTTTTATTAGTCAAAAAAATTTCACATTAACTGTATCATAGCCCTATTAATAAAATAAGAAAACAAGACTATTAAATTTACTTTCAACCTTATAGTAATAGCATGTATTTTACAAATACATTAATATCATTCAATGAATATATGTATACATCAATGATAATAAAGAAAAAATTGTGCTTAAGGTAATCCAGTTATTTATAAACAGTTTAAAAATTCTAACATTTATACTGAGAAATAATTGTACTTTTCAAAATGAATAATACTAGTTGAAACATTTTATTTGCAATATAAATTATTATTTTGGATAAGTCTTTAGATTCTATTTTAACGTTTGGTTTATAAATGAAATATATATTGACTTCGAGCCTGTTCAACTGTGTTGTTTTGTGAAGTCTAACTCTTTATGTATAAAAAAAATTAAAAAATTATTCTTAGAACAAGTTATTTTAAAATCAAATTTTAGAATAGGCATTTACTCCACGTGTAGCTTAGTGAGGCCACAGAAACTAATGTGGCTACGATCAAATACTTCTATAGGTTACAATCTAAGAATAGCTTACCCATATATGCAAAAACATACCCCAAACTATGCAAGAGTTTGTGATAATCCGAAGCTGTAGGGACACAAGTTAAAAAAAAAAAAAGTAGAATCCCTTTAGTAAAGAACCCAAAATGCTGTGACCATAGAAAATAAAGAATAAGAGCGAATGTATAATTGCAATATCACAGAATATTTACATAGAAACCGTATATTTCGTACATCAACGGCATGACTAAACTCTTCGGTGCTCAAATCGTCCAGCTCATCTTGTTACGCTGAAAAAGGGAAAGGCCAAGGTGCTGTTGTGTCACCAGCCACCAACAAATCTTAAAATCTATTAAATACTTCTAAGGAAATATCACGGTGTTACTGAAGTAATCAAACATCATTACCCTCCCTGAATTATCTATATATGTATATTAAAAATATTATTTATATATTGGTTTGCCGCATTTATGCGTGAGATAATTCGTGCGTGAAAATAAAATTCTAGAGGACGTGATACAATGTACTTGTAACAAAAGAAGGAAAACGAGCCCAAGCATACAAAAAATCTATTTGTACTTAATCATCCAAATTGTTCATCATTGTACTGTTCCAGTAACAATGCGTGGGCGCGCCCTTTCTCAACTAGCGGCCGGTATTCCTACTTGTTTTAATTATTCGTTTTTATTGCTTTTCTAGTTTGTTCAGCAAAAAACGATTAGTACCTAGGGATTTTCCACACTGCAGCAATTTAAAAACAGTTAACTAAGATAGTAAAAACGCACGCTTCGTGATTGATGGAAACGGATTACAATTTTGGGAACTCGCACATCCGCCATTTTGTCGTCCGCGACAATCGTCTCGCGCGAAGCAGTTCTCGGTAAATGGACGGCTTTATTGGAAAAATTCACGCGCGTTCCAAATATCAAGTGAATCGAAATCGATCCGACTTAGCATCTGAGTAGAAAATCGAGATTAAAGACGAAAAAGGTTACCTGTCCTCCTGTGACTCTTGGCCATTTTCTGCGGCGTCCCCGCCGCCGTTCTCTGCTTCACCGTTCTGCTCGAAGTTTTGATCCGCGATATCTTCGCTGAAGTCCTTGTTCTCCTGATCAGCCATTTTTTGTGGTTACTTTACTATTTCTTAAAAATGAGACACTTAAAAACACAATTGGAAATCGTGTTTTTGGAAATATTTAATTACACTGCACGAGCTAACACACTCTCACGTCCGTACTGATCGGCCGCCGAATGGAGAAGGGAGAGCCAAAGACTTGCGCTCAGTTTGACTCAGATTCCACGCAAAGCATCATGGAATTTCTTTTACCTCCCCCCAATACACTTCTAAGCCAATCACAGTTCACCATTCAGGGCCGTAGCTTTTACTCCTGAAATGAGGGCCTATGTCGTTACATGCTTTAGATTTGAACATTAATTCTTGAATGTTTATTCGAACATAATTTAAGATATTATTTTTCTTTTAGTGAAATTAATTAATAGATAAATTACATTTTAGTTGCAAATAATGACTAACATTTTATTCAAATGAAATTATTTTTTAGTGATATTTTATTCGAAGCAGAAATTCTGTTTATGTATTTGTAGAAAATATAAAGAAGGTGTTATTTCTGAATTAATTTTGAAGTTTAAAAAATTTCAGTATATTAAATATACATATTTTCTAGTTTCTTTATCATTTCTGTCTCAACAAAATTACCAGCAAAGATAATTATTTTTACTTTAACACTATTATATTATTTTAAAAAATATTAATAATTACAAGAAACTCTTAAACACATTTGTAAAGAACTACTGTCATGTAATATACATAATTTATTATTAGAATATTCGTGACTCTTAAGTAAACTAACCCAACAACTAGTAAAGAATATATTTTATTAAAGGATTTTATACTTTTTCACTACTAAGAAATGAATATTGTTACAAGTAAATAATCATTCAGTGTTTTCGAATAAATTCTTAACTTTGGTTTGCATTTTATAGTTGTTACTCCAAATAACATTATCCCATTTCGACCTTGTACAGTCAAAGATCTACATAATGCTTTGAATTTGTTTTACACAATGCTATAAAAGAGAATATGTTCTTCTTCAAAGGGTACTTTTATACACAGATCGTCAATTTCCTTACAATCAATCAAATTTTACTTAAAGAATTCAATTCTTATGTATTGATTTTATCAATTGTCATTTGCTTACTAATTTCCATGCTATTCGCGATAAATGTACACATCTATTGGTATCGAATATATATTGCATTCGTAAATTTATGTCATGCAATTATTTTATTTTACTTTCAAACAATAAAAAAAGGGTCAGTATTTCAAAGCATTGATACGGCCCTACAACACCAATCGATGTCTGCTGGGAATTCCACGATGCTAAGGGGGAACAGCGGATATAATGGCATGCATACGAAAATTTTGGGCGTGGGGAATGGAGCGCAAACGAGGAGCCAATCAGACTAGCGACAAATGTCGAATAGTACACGGCAACCAATAGGAATACGCCAAAGGACAGGATCCATTCAGTAGCTTCGTTTCCCAGAATTCTACGCGCATGAATTTCTAAGAAATCAATAAAACATTATTTGCATTTTCGTTTTCCTTTTCCCATATACAGTTCATCTAATTTATTTTTTTATTTTTCTCATTTATTACATTCTCCCTATTCATTGCTTATATTACAGAAAAAGCATTTGATTTACATGTCCACCTAATAAAAGCGGGAAACGCTTACGTGGATTCAGCATTCTCATCGTTATATAGACGCTAGTAGCTGGCGCTGTCATCGACGTAGATGGCAGCACGTGACGCTTAAGAATTGTTATTAACTCATGTATGCGAATAATAAATTATTATCAGTTGGCATTATAATAAATAGGTTTACTATTATGTCACTTTTTAATTAAAAATTTTCTACGTATAAGTTGTGTATATTTCGAGATTACTAGTAATTATTATAAATTTCTGTTAGACGTCAGTATCTACTAAATTTTTAGTATAAAATTACTAATTAATTATTTCTATCCGGTTTACACATTTTAATCACCTTTTTTTTAATTCTTCTATGGAAATAGTTATCAGCGCAATACTTCATCGTTCTTACAATGGTCATTATTCAATTTATTAATAGTGACTTTTTCACTTATTGTATAAAATTCTTATGTTAGTGTTTTGTTAATGTGTACCGTCAATACCGTTAAGTATGTCGGTGTTGTAGATGAAAATTTTTAGAGTAAAATATTGAAAACATACCGAAATCGTCAAAATGCCCGAACAGAAGGTAAAACTGTTTCCCCCTACATTTTCTAAAATAGGATGGTAAGGGGAAAACCATATGCCCTATCACGACCAACGTAACGTAACGCTTTGTCCGTAGATTTTGAGGCTACAGGATGTCTGGCGTACTTGTAATAAAATACGGGCAGCTATGTTCCGCGTGGGCTTTAACCTATGGGATTATTATAAACCCTTAGATCCCGATTCTAATTGTTTAATTTCAGGTACAATTGAGTCACTTATATTTACATTTTTGTCGTATAGGTATATACATATGAATTGTATACAGTATTGAAATTATACTGCCATTTTAAGTTTGTTAATTGGAAGCGGTAAACCTTGCTTAAACAACTTTTTGGATTTTATGTTTATAGTTATGCATAACTCGTGCGATTAACTAATAAATTTAAATGTGTATAAGGTATTAATTTGTATTTGTATTGTTATATTAAATGTTACTGTGCTATTTATATTTTTTTCATTTTCCTACATGTTTATAATATTAAATTTCACAAAATATTAACATGTATCTACAAGTTAAATATCATTACTTAATGTGAATTTTTTTTTAATATTGATATGTATTTTACAATTAATACTCGTTTTTCGTTATGTTCATATTATTTTAAGTCCTATAAATTAACTTTCACGTTGGATCACAAATGATTTATACTTGTGTACATTTTCAATTTCAATAGAATTATTTTTTGTTTTAGTGCTCATAATTATATAAATTGTATGTAATTTTATGTTTCTGATCAAAATAAATGAATAATAAATATATTTAACTCTTAAATCTAATAATTCCATTTTAGTACTTGATCTTTTGCTTCTGAATTATTATGGTATTATAATATTAGTTTATAACATTACTTGTGGTATTAATTCCAATTTGATAAGTTTTATTAAGTTCATTTTTGTCTTCACTAATGTTATTGCTGGTTCTACACATTATACAAATTTACAATTTATTATTCACATTATGCAAGTTTGCTATAATTTTGTTTCTCAGAAAACTGCACATGTAATCAATATTTCATCGTATTTAATACTATTTCTTTTGGGATTTTCTGTTTATTCAATGGATATTTTATATAATATATTTTTTAATTATATTGTTGACAATATATATACATATATTTTTGGCAATTTTTGACTTCAATATTTTTTGAGTATATTCTATTTTTAATTATACAAATCTTTCAGTCTTCTATGTCTGATAAAAGTAAGTGTGCAAAGAATGTTAAATTCTATTTTACATGTATGTATATTTATTATTATTATTTATTGATACTTCTTTTGTCCTTTCGAACCTCGAGGGGCATGTACGTATATTTTTAATGTTATAATTTTTCATACCATATAGATTGTATTTTTACATACATTGTTTTAATATATTTTGTCATTAAATTTTAAATATAATTTTTAAGTACATTGTAGCCTAGATATGTTAGTGAAGTACTAATTTTAATGTCTAATGTCAAATTATGTAATGGATTATTATTATTAATACACAGAGTCGAAGTTTATTTCCATATTGGCTGGTCCACTGAAAGATAAAATTGGTTTATCGGACCAAGAAATTTGTGATTTGGCTGATTACTTTCGTGTTCAAGATGGTCGAATACTTTACACACAGTTTTGCACAATTATTCATGACAATGGTATGAATACTTTATACGTGAACTGTTAAGTAATCCTGTCAAATGATTTTGCTATGGTATTCTATACTATTCTTCACATAAACATATTTGCATCCACATTTGTGTATGTATCTCATTGTAAATAATATTGTATATTGTTAGATTATAATATATATGTTTACATTCATAAATAACAGAATAGTAATAGAAGAAATACATATAATAATACATAATACAACTTTGATATCATGAAATTTCGTTTTAAAGTATCTTTTAATATTTGAATTAAAAAAATTTTTAAGACGACTTAATGACATTTTGATAAAATGTATTGTTAAATTTTTATTTTAAACAAGAGGCGTATATTAATAGTTAATGAAGAAGAATTCATGAAATTATAAATTGTTAGAAATACATTCTGGAAACGAGATTAAAATTTGTATAAAATTTTGATATTAATAAATGTTTCTACTAACATTTATAAAATACTAGATTATTGCCTTTATTTCTTTATCTTATTAATTTTTTAAAAAGAATTGTGGCACTCTATATTTAATGAGTAATTTAATTTATTAATAATACACTAATAAATACATTTAAAACCCATTTACATCATCCAAATGGAAAAAATTTACTTCTTTTTTAAATAAGATCCGATGATGGTTAGTTAAAAATAATCTTCTAAGTTACGAGAGAGTAGATGGTCAAAAATGTATCGTGGAAAATTTCGGTGGTACTACAGTGTCTAAAATGAAAGGAATTCGTAGTTGACCAGTATACCTGACCCGGTACCGTTAAGTTAAGTGTACTCTTCTTTGAGACAAACTTCGTTTCGTGGTATACAAGCTTGTACTAAATATTCTCTTATGGTCAGGGAAACCTTTCTTTCTGTCCAAATATTAGCAGTAAAGTTAATATAAATGCATGCATATTTGTAATTACTATTTTTATTACAGTACCTGATTTCGATAAAAATGCACCACTAGTAACCGGTTTAGAATGGGAAGATCCAGAACACGTGAATCGATTAAGTGCATCTGAGTACCGAAGATTATGTCTTATCATTACTCAAATCGCTGTTCTCGTAAATAAAAGGCGATTGGTTTTAAGACCATATTTTCAAGACTACGAGTTGGTGCGTGTACATAGGCTGTCCCACTGAATTGGGTCAAGCTATAACTTTAAAACGGTAGAAGGTAGAAAAAACATGTTTTTAGCCAAATTCAAATAGTTTCGTGTTGTGCATCACATGGTGCGTGTGTCTGCCTTAGAGGTTGATGTGTTTCAGAGATTTTGAGCTCATTTAATTTTTTTAAATAGAACTTTTATATTTGGATTCTACCAACTGATGCGTTCTTTTCTTTTCTATAAAAAAGTGTTAAAATAGTTGTGTCCAATTTTGATTAGTTTAAATGATATTTTGACTGCAATTTGAAAACATTGTATATACACATATTAGATCTACGCTGCAACGTTTCTTCTACACGTCCTTAACATTTATGTAATACGAGGTCATATCATTTAACTGTATCATTTCGAAATATCAGTTTAACCGATGCTAACCGATGTGTGAATATTTAAATATTACAGGCAATATTCTTTTTGGCTTAAATATGTTTATTATCGTTCCTTAGCTTATTTTATATATTGCAAAGGAATGTTTATTCGCATAGAGTAAAGTAAATTCAATAAAATGGATTATTATTTGTAGATTGCGAAGAACGCCGGTACAGTAACGTTCACCCATTTTGGACGAGTTTTGAACTTTCTAGGCATTGTCCTCGCATCAAACGAATTTTCTTTACTTATAAAACGATTTATGAAACATGCCTATACCATTAACTACGTAGCCTTCTTGCAAGCGGTTGACGAAGCTCAATCTTATCTGGACCAGCATGGAATGTTGTCCCTTGGCGGAGTAATATTTTACAAACTTATTATTGATACAATTAATATATTGTAAACCTACCATTTAATATTATTCTTCAGCACACAGTTTCTAATTTTTATCCTTTGCATTCGGAAAATGAAATATATTCAACATAAAATTTCATACATTGAGAATTTCCAATATATTACTGTGTATTAAAACAGAATACACAAAACATTATCTACTTTTGTCGAACAAAGTATAACGATATATTTAAGTAACATTTAATGTTGAACGCTTAAAAGTGAACGTTATGAAGGCTCGTGTACACTTTTCATCGTGTATATACTTGCTATTATTTTTATTTAATATGGTTATCATCATATTTTTGATGTTACAGCAATGCCTTCAAAATTTCGAACATTACAATGTCAGAAACTTTAAATACAAAAAAAACTTGGTCAGGTCGGTCAACGACCTGTCGAATCATTATATGTACATATGTACACATTGTACACATACAGCGCTTGAAACTTATTGTATTTATTCATGTATTACGTAATTTCTAATGTGGTATAAAAATTGCATGGAGTGGATTAGTGAGGTTTTATTGATGGATATGAGATCAAACACTACACTATACTGAAATAATTTAAAGTAATATATCTAATAATGAGTGTTATTAAGTCAATGAAACGAGCATTCTTGTAAAGGAAACTAAAACATGATCGAATATTTTTGTATTTGGTCTTATTTTTATCTAAAGAACCTCACTAAATCATTGATAAAAATTTCACAAAAATATAATGAACAATGAGGAGTTTGTCATATTATATTAATAGTCTGCACATGAATACGCTGTTTAGGCTCCCATACACGATGCGATTTGTTGCACAGGGAGTTTGACAGACAGTTAGAACGACAGATTTTTACCCTGTCGTAATGCCGTACCATACGACCGCCTCGTTCTATAAATCCTACTACAGTTCCACAAACATTGCAACTGTCGTTCAGACGGTCGAAGCGACCTGAGTTGTACGATCAATCGTACGACAAATCGTATCGTGTATTGTGTATGGGGCACTATAGACTTTGGACGGAAAATGTGGGGAATCGTCTGCTGAGTTACTCGTTAGTGACACAACTCCTATCTCCTATCACAGTCATGCTTTATCTCACTTCCTTGTGATTAGTATTGTTTTTTGTCATTGTCAAATGCCATACGTCTTATGACATCCAAACTAGTGATACAAGGGGTAGCCCGATCCGGAATAATTACCTGGTTCATTATTGATGACCCTTATAAAAAGGGATCACCAGTGCCTTTGTCTCGTACCCATTGCTTCGGCATTTGTCTTTCGGCAAAGCCTCTCGGCATTGCGGGAAATGCGGGATTCCGGGAATGATTTGAAACAACTTTTTCCTTAGCAAAAATGTTATCCGAGGCTTTGTTAACAGGAGATTAACGAAAAACTCGGACCATTCAGAGCGCGAGTCTGCTGACCGAGTTCCCAATTCTCTTCCCGACTGATGTCGGTAAATATAAAAAGAATTCGTACCGAACCAGCAATGAGGATGCGTGTGCGACAACATAGAAGGGTCATGAAGTCCACTTGAAATTAATTATCAAATTTTAAAAGAAGTCAAGTTTTCGTCAGAAATTTTTATCTTTAAATAGCAAACAAAAATATTAAAAATAAAAAATTTTTCAAAATGGCCCGGTAGTCTACCCGGATAGCATATGACGTCTTGAAGACATCCATTTTACTGAAATGCGGACGTATCCCAAATATTAGAAAAGTCAATCGACTAAACTGTTCGGCAGTAACTGTGCCGACTGGCAAATGCCGACGCAGAGCTGTGCCATGGGGCAAATGCCACCTCAATGGGGACGCGGCTTTAGATCGAATTAGATTTGTGATATTCCATTCGGTAGCTTACCAAGAACAAATAATTTGTAATCATTTTTATCCCTCTATCTCGATCAAAACGGTTGTAACAGAACAAATTTGAATAATCCGCTTTTCCTCTATTTTCCCTATTTAATGACATGCAAAAATTCTATAAAAATATGATTTTTGGTTAGGTGTAAAAAATTAGAAACGCTAAAAAATGCCAAAAAAGCGGATTTGTTATTGAAGTTTTAAAATTTATGTAATTACGGTAACATCATAAGTAGGTACAGTTCCTGATTTTTTGCAGATTTTTGGTAAAGTGCGCCATATTGCAAACAAGTTGGGGTCTTTTCCATGTAAGTTTTTTTTATCACATTCACTATAAATTTGTTTAATTTCTAATTAAATGACAATGAATAGTATTATTATTAAGGATATCATGAAGACAAGGTTTAAGAGGTTTCTGTGTATATTACAGATTAAAATATTCTTAAATAAGTACTGTTCATTGTCATTTAGTTACAAATTAAACAAATATGTAATGAATGTGATAAAAAAACGTAGTATTTTGTACGGGGCTCAAACTCACGATTAAAAACTCCGCAGCGGTATCGCAGTAGGACGCTTAGCCGCTGTACCAACTCTTGGCAGTTAACTAAATATGTACTTGAGTATATATATGTGACCTGGACTACGAAAAAGTGATTAATGTGCGAAAACAACTTTTCGAGAAAAGAGCTGTTGCAGTAAACACCTTCTGCTCGTGCAATCGGTAGGCAATCAGCTCTCTCCTCTCGGTTTTTTCTTCCTCGCTAAGATAAGGCATTTGAAGGTCAACAGTTGATATTTATACTTAATTGTGTTTTGTTGCCAGCACAGTGAATGTTTCCGTAGCCAAATTGAGACTTGCTGAGTTTTTATTTTCTGTGAGGAGCTGCACATTTAATTATTTTCATTATATCGATTACCACCGATTCTGCATCATTTAAAAATAGACAGATTTAAAGTGATTTTTTATGTTACTCACTGCATTTAGTTGAATAATTTTTGTGTAATTACATATCATTAAAAAATGCCTTCAGAAGAGTGATTGAAAGTTGTGTACGAACTATATCATGGTGTAGATAATACCTCAGATAAAATTTCTTCTAATGAGAATAATGCCATTAGTAGTTCGTATTGTGAAGAGGAAGAAAGAGAATATTAATGACCGAGCACTTCTAAAGTAGACATTGAGTTATTATTTGAAGATATAAAAAATCAGAAACGGGTTCTGTACTTTTTTGTAAAACCTTGTTATAATCTACAGCGTAATTCTGGGATATTGTGACAACTGATTGAGAAATCCAGAGATAATTTTTTTAAATTAACAAAAGAGTAACAGGATTTGGTAATTCTAAGCAAAATTGAGACAGGAAAATCATGTACCGTGTTGAAAGATGTATATTCAAAACTTTCAGAAAGGAAGAAATATTGGAAGCGGAAAGGGACATCAGGTTCAAATAGGGCTGCCATCCGTCCGGGTTTCCCCCGATTTGTCCTCTTTTTTTAGGGCGTCCGGGGACGCCCGGGGGGACTTTCGAGAGATTTTAAGTCACAAATAAGTTCCTATTTTGTACAACTATATTTTATCTTTATTTCTTGATTGCGGTTATAGTCTATAATTTACAGAAATTTTTGTCTTGGGATATCGTACCTAATATAAGAAATAGTTGGAAGTGTCCGGGTCTCAAGTGGAAATGTCCGAGGTTTTAATGCTGTCTGTCCTAGATTAATGATTTTACGGATGGTAGTCTGAGGTTCGAAGGGTAATGTAGTTTATATGTTTTATAAGCTGTCCATCTGCCAGCAACTACTATTTATTTATGACTGCGGAAGAAAACGTTTTGCTAAAATTTGCTAAAACACTTCAATTCCAATGGTTTAATTTCAAGTAAACATGGTTTGGCTAAAAACCAACAGCACTGCAACCGGCAGTAGTTCAACTAGTTGAACAGTTTATTAAAGCTATAGCTGATCACCTGATCATGCCACTTCCAGGAAGGCTTCCTAATTTTAAAGATTTTCTTGTTATGTAATTACCATCAGCAGAGAATTTATAGGCTCTACTATTCCTTACTTAATGCTAAGGAACCGGAATTAAGTAACAGGTGTTTTAAATGAATTTGGACAAAATATGTACATCTCTTGTACCTGTAAAATAATCTCCTTCTAATAACCTTCTTAACAGATTAAAATCCCCCTTCCCATCTATCTCTACCTCTCTTTTTTTCCCCTCCCCCTACTTTTTGCCTAGTTTTCCCTTGGTTTTATTATTTAATTTATTATCGTTTCTTTTTTATCTTCATCTATATTCTCGTATACCTTTTTCTATATGGCTCTATCCCTTACCCTATGTATTCCCTTATTGATTTATATATCACCAATCCTCCTTTTGCGTTCCTTATTACTTGTTACTATGTTCATGTTTTATTTGTCCACCCTTGTTCTCAATTTTCTAATCTCGTCCATCTTTACCCCAGTAAAGTATTAAGATATCCTCAGTGACTTCAAAGAGTCTGCACAATACGATATTTGATCTTGATTTTCCCGTTGTCGAGTCCTTTAACCTACTCATGGATTTCTCCCGGCAGGTCGGTGAGCAACACGCCATATCTAACCACCGGTCCCTAGAGGCAGACCCTCCTCATCATTTGATTGTTCAAGCATAATTTTTTAGGAGAGTCCAACTTCTCTAGTGTGACTACATGAAAGTTCGTAAACCACATCATGCTTCACTGGCCCTGTACGCAGAAAGGCGGTTTTAGGTCCACGCTTACCAATCCTTTGTACAAACCCATTTTTTTTTTTTTTTTTTTTTTTTTTTTT